TAATTTCTGCCCTATATTATTTCCTTCCTACCACTTCCTTTGGTATTAGCTTGCTCTTGTTTCTTAGGTTCTTAAGACAGAATCTTTGGCCGGCGCCGCGGCTCACTAGGCTAATCCTCCACCTTGAGGCGCCGGCACACCAGGTTCTAGTCCCGGTCGGGGCGCCGGATCCTGTCCCGGTTGCTCCTCTTCCAGGCCAGCTCTCTGCTGTGGCCCGGGAGTGCAGTGGAGGATGGCCCAAGTGCTTGGGCCCTGCACCCCATGGGAGACCAGGAGAAGCACCTGGCTCCTGGCTTCGGATCAGCGCGGTGCCCCGGCCGCGGCGGCCACTGGAGGGTGAACCAACGGCAAAGGAAGACCTTTCTCTCTGTCTCTCTCTCTCACTGTCCACTCTGCACATGGGAGGCGCAGAGGAAGCTCCTGGCTCCCGGCTTCGGCCTGGCTCAGCCCTGGTCGTTTTGGCCATTTGGGGAGTGGAGGATCTCTCTCTCTCCCTCTCTCTCTCTCTCTCTTTCTCTCTCTCTTCTCTTTCTCTCTCTCTCTCTCCCGCCTTTGTAACTCCGCCTTTCAAGTAAATAAATAAACCTTTATAAAAAAAAAGATAGAATGTCAGGTTATTTGGCACTTCCTCTTTGTTGTTTAATTTCCAAATCTTTGTGGATTTTCCAGGTAAGTTGCAGTTGATTTCCAGTATGCCACTGGTGGTCCACGAATATTCGCTGTATAATGTTCAGTTAGGTGAGGGCTGCTCATTTCTTTGAGGTCACGGGCTGTGATCTGTTTCTGGAATGTTCCGTCTGCACGGTTGCCGGGGTGACTGGAGATGCCGCTCAGGTTTTTCTGTCTGCTGATTTGCTGCACTCGCCAGGTCTGGGGTCGGACGCCTGGACATCTGAGGCCTGCGCGCTTTTCTCAGGGGCTGCCTCCCAGGACTCGGGCGTTCGCGGATCTTGAATTTATCCAACTGCTGTTGAAAGGAGCCCCCAAGGGGGCCGGCGCCGTGGCCTTGTGGGCTGAGCCCCCGCCTGCAGGGCCGGCATCCCATGGGCGCTGGTTCTAGTCCCGGCTGCTCCACTTCCGATCCAGCACTCTGCTGTGGCCTGGAAAAGCAGTGGATGATGCCCCAAATGCTTGGGCCCCTGCACCCACGTGCGAGACCCAGAAGAAGCTCTTGGCTCCTGGCTCCGGATTGGCCCAGCTCTGGCCGTTGTGGTCATCTGGGGAGTGAACCAACAGCTAGAACACCTCCCCCTTCCCCACCCCGTCTGTAACTCTGCCTCTCAAGTAAATAAAGGAAGGGGAGGGGAGGGGAGGGGAGGGGAGAGGAGGGGAGGGAAGGGGAGGGAAAGTAGGGGAGGGGAGGGAAGGGGTGGGAAGGGGAGGGGAGGGGAAAGGAGGGAAGGGAAGGGAAGGGGAGGGGAGGGAAGGGGTGGGGAGGGGAGGGGAGGGGAAAGGAGGGAAGGGAAGGGAAGGGGGAAGGAAGGAAGGAGGAAGGAGGGAGGGAGGGAGGAAGCAAGCTCGCTCCTAGGAGAGGGCAGACAGACATCCCGCAAACTGCGGCCTCGACCACGGGGCTGCTCTAACGGTGTGGACTCTGTCCCCTGCTCGCTGTCTCAGTTCGCCTGCCAGCAGCTCTTGCTGCTCTGAGATGGGCTCTCAAGCCCCTCTGAGGCCTGAGGACCCCTGCCCAGCTCCCAGCTTGTCTCACCCCACATCTACAACTCCCCTTTCCTGCACGGAGGCCTAGCCCACCCACCCCAGGGCCTTTGCACGTGTGGTCCTCTCTGCCTGAGTTGGTCTCTCCCATTTCCCACACCGGGTAACCCGCACCTCCTCGCATCTTCAGCGTAGATCTCTTCTGTTCATGGGCCGCGTCCCCTCCCCAAGCTGGGCAGGGCAGGGCCTCCCCTTGCTCTGGGGCCTGTGGTTCACAGTGGATGACAGCTTTCAGGGTCTCCCCAGCCGGCCTGGGAATGCTGCGCGGGAGGGGCTGTCTGGTCTCAGCCTCATCCCCAAGCGTCTGTGCGAATGAACGGGTGAGTGGGAGAGGGAAAACGGCCCCAGGGGTGAGGTGGGGCCCGCGGCGGGCCCTCACGCGGCCCTCTCTGTCCACACCCCTGTCCCGGGTGCTCGCGTGGCCCTCTCTGTCCACACCCCTGTCTCGGGCCCTCGCGCGGCCCTCTCTGTCCACACCCCTGTCTCGGGCCCTCGCACGGCCGTCTCCGTCCACACCCCTGTCTCGGGCCCTCGCACGGCCGTCTCCGTCCACACCCCTGTCCCGGGCGCTTGCGTGGCCCTCTGTCCACACCCCTGTCTCGGGCTGTTTCTCTGTAGCTTGGGGAGGAAATGGCACCGGGCCGTGCCCGCCTGGGCGGACAGTTCGCACGGGAGCAGGCGGGAGCTGTGTCTGTCCCGCTTGGAGTGCTCAGGGCCCAGTGAGTTTGCATGGAGCAAGCAGCGCTGGGGGGATGGGCAGAGGGACCCGAGTGAGACCGGCCCCAGCCAGTGCTGGCTTCCGGCCACATCCCGCACCCTCCTGCCTCCACCCCCACCCTGTGGTACCAGCTCAACTTGGCCTTGTGCCGCGAGGCAGGAGTTGGGGCTCAGGGAGGGCAGGAAGGCAGCTCCCTTCCTGTCTCAAGTCCTGCCCACCGGCCATGTGGAGGGCCCGTGGCTGGGGCAGCGTCCCCCAGGAGTGGAGGCCAGCCTGGGCTGGGGTGGGGGAGGGTGGGCCGCAGGGCGCACGTGCGCAGGGCTGGTGCTCTCCCAGGGCCTTTTAAATGCACCCTCTTGTTGGAGGCTCACTTGAGGCACGGGCTCAGAGCAGACGGGAACAGCTAATGTAGGACGGAGAGAAAGCCGAAGGCCGCGTGTGTCTTGCTGAATCTCAAACCAAAACGACCTTTTGTTAAGGAACAAACAAGTAAACAAAAACACTGGGGACTATTCCCCGGGACACAGTCTGAGCGAGGCTCTGGCAGAGCAGGCGGCAGCAAACCCAGTGGGTGCTTGGCGGGGCGTGGGGGCGGCCCACACACCGCGGCTTTCAGGGAGCCCTCAGGAGGCAGAGGCTGGGGGGAGGGGCCCTGAGCAAGGCAGGGTGGGTGCTCGGGGGGTCTCAGGTCCTACTGGGGCCACCAGGGGGTGGAAGGCAGTGTTCAACCTGCAGCCACGAGGCGGGTGCTGTGACAAGGCCAGCCAGGGGCGGGTGAGAGAGGCTGGCCCAGCCCTGAGAACCACCGCCTCCTGTACTGGACTCCTCCAAGCGTTCAGGCCAGACTCACCCCTGCTCCTCAGAGCAGCCCTGGCGGACCCTGGTCCCTGCTCCCTCAGCCCAGAGATGCGGCAGCCCTAGCGACAGTCCAGCTCGGGGGCTGCTAACAAGGAGGCCAGTGCCAGACCCCCCCTCCCCTCCCACCTGCTCCCCAAGCCCCGGAGACGCGGCAGCCCTAGTGTGGAAGCAGGACTCTGTCCCCACGGCCCTGCCCCTTCCCCAGGGACCCTTCCAGCCTCGTAGCTGGTGGCCCTGGCAGGCGGCGGTGCAGCTCTGCTCCAGGTCTGGCCTTGATCTGCCTCCAGCCTGGGTGGGCCCTGGCATTCCGGACAGGGCGGCTGTGGGCGGCCGCTGGTGCCGCGGGTGTCTAGGTGCGTCCGGAAGCATTTCCTTAGCGCCTTCCGCTCCATGACCCAGCAGGTGTCGGGCTCTGCAGCCCGTCTTCCTGGCCCATGAGCGGGGTGGGCTGGGGCCGGAGCCCTCTTGGCTCTCTGCCAAACTCATCTTCCCATGCCCCCACCCCCAAGGGGACCAGAGAGTGCCCACCTGCCCCCACTGTGACTGCCCCGTGACCCTGTCGCCCTGTCACTGGGACTGGGGATAGCAGCCATCGCGTCCTAACGTCCTCTGGCTCAGCCCCGCGGACCCGACACTGGGCACACAGAGCCAGCCCTGAGCCTGCGGCTGCTCCCCAGCGGGGACCCTGCCCTGAGCTCCTTCTGTGCCCTCCAAGGGAGACTCAGTCCACCCCTGCTCCTGGGCTCTGCGTCCGCGAGGGTGCAGCCCCTGGCAGGGGCGTGGACAGCGCCAGCCCTCCTCGGCCTCCTCTGGGGGTCTCAGAGGGCAGCTGGTAGGAACAGCCCCTTTCGCGAGGCCATTAAGTGGGCTAATGACCCGTGTGGGCTGTTGCCCATCCAGCTGTGGCCCCGCCTCCCCCGTGCTCGGGAGCCCTGCTGCGCCCTGCTCACCACCTCGTCATTGTGCGGAGCCACAGCCTTCTGGGACGGGGCTGGGGCCTGGGAGCCCGTGCTGCCTTTCCAGGCCCGCCTGGGACCATGCACACAGCAGGCAGTTAATACTTGCTGGGCATCAGCCCCAGAAAGTCTCCTTGAATTCCGGGCTATGGAGGGACTGGCAGTCCAGGGCACTGGGGTGAGGCAGTTGGTCCGTGGGCTCGGGGCTCAGCCAGGGATATGAGTCCTGCAGACCCCCGCCTCCTTCCTGGCCAGGCCACCACCCTGATCTCTCTCTCTGGGCCCCGATAGCCACTCGGGTGGAGCACAGAAGTGGGTGAGTGGCAAGGACTCTGTCACCCGAGCAGGGGGAACCTGGCCCCCAGCTCTGGGGGTGAGGAGGAGGGGTCTCGCCTGCTCTACCTGGGGCCCAGGACTCGGGGAAGGGCGAAGCTCCCGGGAAACCAGAATGGTTCCCAACCCTCCCGACACTGTCTGGGACGGTGCCCGGGGCAGCTTCGGCCGTCCACACACCCTGGGGTGAGCTCTTCCCTGCCGGCCGCAGGGCTGTGGGAGAGCCCCCGCCTGGAGTCTTGGCTCGGTGTCCCTAGAAATGGGCCGGGCCTTGAGGCCCCTCTATCCTCACCCCAAGGCCTCCCGGGTCGGCCAGCCGGATCTCAAAGGCGGACGCAGTTTGGGCCACAGACCCCAGGGTGGAGATCAGGGCCCGTTTCCAGGAGAGGCCCCGCAGAAAGAACGAGAGGAGGCAGGGGTGTGGTGTGGCTGGATTTAATTCACCTGCGAGTGAGCTCCCAAGGGCCAGGGCGAGGCCCCTGCAGCCAGACAGCTCCACCTCTCCAAGGAGCCGGAGCGGAGCCACGGGCAGGACGGGGCACCTGCCAGGGCAGTGCTGGGGCGGCCCGGTGCGCAAAGCTGACAGGCAGGCGTGCGCGGGACTCACACGGAAACAAGCCCCGGGCCCCACCAAACCCCGAGCTGTCGTCGGAGATGCCCGGGCGCGCCGGTTCCACCACCACCACGGTTACAAACCAAACCAACCAAAGCCCAGCTGAAGGGCGGCTTGTCTTCCCACGGCTTCAGGCTGGTGAGTGCGGAGTGAGGCCGGCCTCACACGAGCCTGCGCCTCTTGGAGTCCCTGCCCATGTCGTCCTCCTGCGCGTCCTCCTCGCAGCCCAGTGGGGACACCAGGTTCAGCAGGGGGTCCTCGGAGGCTCGGCCGAACAGAGCCAGTAGGAGCGCCACGCCGAAGCCCGTAGCGCGCTCACCCTGCGGGCACAAACCCGGGCTGCCAGGCGCCCCCCTGCATGGAAGGGGCCTCCCGGCAGCCCCGTCCCACCCCTGCGCAGTCCCTGGAGGCTGAGCCAGAGCCCCGGGCCTTCCCCATTGCTGCCTGTCACCTCTGGGCCACACCTGGGGGCCAGGCACTGGGCACAGCCCGCAGTGTCCTGGTGGGAGAGGGGAGCACGAGACCAGGACTCCTGGGCCTCCTGCTGCTGATGGGCTGTTCTGGGGGCCTCAGCTGGCCGGGTGTTTCTGCAGAGCGGAGAGGGTCTCTGCACGGTGTGTGTGTGGGGGGGGGGGGGCGGGGCGCGAGCAGCCCCGGCCAGCGGGGGGAGGGGACACTCACAGCGTGCACGGGTGCAGCAATGTCCAGGTGGACCCAGACCCCAGGCCAGTCGAAGCCGATGTGCGAAGCGATGAAGAGACCAGCGCAGGAACTGGGGCTGTTGTCTCGGTCCTGGGGAAGCCAGGAGGAGGCACTGGGACCCCCATTCCCCGCAGGAGGCAGGGGCTCACCCCATGGGGACCCCACAGCCTGGCCACGGCCCCCCACCGCGGGAGGCCCTGGTGCAGGGGGAGGGGATACCAACAGGCCCCAAGGGGTCCCCGGGTCACACCCAGGGGTGGGGAAGGGACACTGGCCCGAGGTGCCACACCTACCGCCACCGAGTTCTTCATGTCGGCCACGGCCGAGGTGAACTCGCTGAAGTGCAGCTCGGGGCAGTAGACCAGCGGGTGCACCAGGTCCCCACACTTCCTGCCGGCTTTCACGCAGGCGGCCTCCCACTCGGCGCTGTTGGTGAGCACTGCCGCGTGGTACTTGCCTGTGGCGATGCCCTGGGAAGGGGAGCGTGAGCCGGGAGCAGAAGGAAAGCAGAGCCGTGAGCTGGGCTTCTGGCTCTGTCCCGCGCCCACGCTGAGCTCCGCCAGCCTCCGTGTCCACCCGCGTCCACAGCGGCCCCGCCCCGCCTGGGGTCAGGAGGAGCGCAGGCTCCCTGGCGGCGGCACCCACCTGCGCCCCAGTCAGCGTGGCCATGTCCAGGATGATGTCAGCGCCCAGGTCCTTGCAGGCGTAGGACACGCCGTCGGCCAGCACCAGCCGGCCCTCGGCGTCCGTGTTGTTGATTTCCACAGTCCTGAGGGGCGAGAGAGACCCCCAGCTCAGGGCTGCGACTCCCAGGCACACTGGGAGCAAGGCCTCTCAGGCCAGAGCAGCCACACTTGGGGTCCCCGTTCCAGTAGCTCCCTTACCCCGCGAGGCAGGGACGGCCCTGCACCCCACGGCAAGGCGGGCGCTGGGGGCAGGAGCACAGGGCGTGCGGGTTCAGGGCTGGCCTGCTGCTCTCTGCACCTCCGCTTCCCCGGGGGCGGGGGCGGGGGCGGCACAGGCCAGCACGGGGGCAGCCTTACTTTCCAGAGTACAGCAGGTGGATGTCATCCGGCCTCGTGGCTGCGGGCCCCACTGAGTTCTCGGCCAAGCAGAAGACGGCGTGGAGGTTGTCTCTGAAACCCTGGGGGAGACGAGGACACAGGCTGCAGTTAGCGGCTGGAGGTCCCCAAAGCCGGCAGGAGGCAGGCAGCGCCAAGGGCAGCTCAGCTCGGAGGTCACAAGTAGCCACCCGCCCCGCCCGCTGCCCACAGGCCACTGCTGCCTGAGACAAGCCCTCCTGCGGATCCGCCGCATGGTGCGTGCCTGGTCTCCCTCGTCGCTGACCTGGGCACCCGCTCTCCTCCCGCCGTGGACACGGCCCACTCCGGCCTTCCTTGTTTCCCTCCCCCAGCGAGACACAGTCCCTCTCGGCGGCGACCAGAGGTGTCAGGGCTAAGGCGGACAAGGGCTAACGGGAGTACCTCGGGCTCTGTAGCGGGGATCTTGCTCCTCGGGACCCTCGGAATAACTGTTGCAGCCCGAGTGGAGAGAGGGCCCGAGACCACCCACTGCCGCCAGTCTCACCGCAGCCCACCTGCTGGGGCGTCTCCTGGCCAGCCCGTCCTCCGCGCCAGCACAGACCCCCGGCGGGAGTGCCGACCAGGGCGGGATGGACAAGTCACGGACAGCAGGCCGCGTGGCTCTTCCAAACCTGCTCGCCCACCCTGATGCACTGCTTCCCTGCAGGACCACCCGCCCTGGGGGCCCGTAGCCAGGTCCCCTGGCACCCTTTACCTGCTCACCTGCCAGGGAAGTGGGGCTTGGCTGAGCCAGTGGGGCCCTGGAGGGAGGGGCTGGGACCGGGAGCTGCCTACCCACGGCCCAGCCTGGGGTGCCAAGCCACGCGAGTGCCATGTTGAACGCTGGGCGTGTCCCCTCGTGAGAGTCCCCAGCCGGCGAGGGGGCAAGAACGCGTGTACACACACACCCCCACATGCACACGCACATGCACACGACAGTCACCCCCAGGGCTCGGGGAAGCCATGGCTCATGAGCCCCACAGAGTCTCAGGCAATGCCAGGCAGGTGCACTCCAAATGTGGTGCCATACCCCAAATCCCGCCCAGGTCGCCTCCTCCCCTCCACCTCCAGTGAGCACCCGCCCCCGCCCCCAGCAGTCGGGTACACGGGGTAAACCAGGAAGCCACGGCAGACAGAGCTCCTGATCCGTGGCAGGGACCACGCCCATCTGAACCACAAAGGATCTGCCACGACCTTTTTGTTTTCTAAGGTCAAGCGTGCCACGAGGGAGCCAGGCCTCACAGGCAGTGGCCGTGGGGGACGGTGGCCTCTGTTCAGTGACACAAAGAACTCTGCCTCTCAAAAGCTGGCCCGAGAGAGCTCCCCCGAGGCGGGAGACCCCAGCTTGGGACGGTCAGTGTGCCCTCTTCATTCTTTGAAAGGCCAAGCAGAGAGGGACACCCGCCGAGCAGGCTCAGGAGGGCTCAGCTGGGGCCTGCAGGGAGGGGGCGGGGAGAGCCGGGGAGGGGCCCAGCGAGCAGGCAGTGGCACCGGCAGTGCTGGAGCCTCACGCACCTGCTTGATGGCGGCTCTGAAGGCCCCCAGGATGGCGGCAGCGCCCCCGCAGTCTCGCTTCATCCCCGGCATGGTGGTCTGCAAGCAGCATGGAGGGAACAAGAGGGCCGTGAGCCACGCAGACACGGAGCCCACCCACCACGGGGCTCCCCGGGCCCGCCCAGAGCCTACCGCAGGCCACCTGCCCCGCTTGCCCCCCTGCCCCTTCTCTGCGGCCCCAGCTCCCTGCCTCTCTCACTGTCTCCCTGGTTCCCACCCACTGCAGACCACCACTCAGTCCGGCCCCTGCCACCACCTTCAGCAGCCCCCTGCCCCTCCCCCTGCCGAGCGCTCCTGTCTCCTCTAACCCTGCCCCCTCCCCCCGCCCAGCGCTCCTGTCTCCTCTAACCCTGCCCTTGGAGCAGCAGCTCCTGGCTCCGGAACTCTCTGCCCTCCAGCCCGCAGGCATCCAGGGTGCAGGCCACGTGGTGAGGAGCACCTCCCCCAGGCTCCATTCCAGGCCTGGTCCCGCCTGCGGCACGGGCTTCCTCGTCACTCTCTCCAAGTGCTGGGGCAGCTGCACCCCCGACACATCCGAAACAGGCCTCTGGCCCCCACCGCACACGGCCACCTCCTCCAGGTCCCCGTCCTGCTCCGCCTCCCAAGAGCTCCGCTCTGCTTCCGTCTCTGTCGCCCCCACAGGCACTGGCCCCCTCCCTCGGGGTCCTTCTGCCTTCGCCGGCGACACCGACGTGGAATCTGCCTTCACTGTGACGTGGCCAGGCTGCAGCCCCGCCAGCTGTTGGTCTCTGCCTCTTCTCCACCTGGCCCCGGCTCTCTGCTCGTGGCCACCCTGCACCACTGCCAAGGTCGATGCGGCCTCTCCCCGCCTCCACCCAGGGGATACTCATGGGCCACGCCACTGCCAGCTCCACCACCAAAGACTGGGGCTGCCAGACGTGGGCACACCGAGGCCGTGGTCCGGCCATGCGGGTCAGTGCTACTCTCTGGCCAGCTCTTAGCTGCAATGAACAGCAGGCCCTCGGACCTCAGTGTCCGTCCGGGCCTGCAGTATGCCGAGGGATTTGGGACCCTTACCATCTTACACGGGGCCTTGAGGCTCAGCGGAAGTGTTCAGATCTAAACCGAGCTGTTTTTATAATAGAGCCAAGTGGAAGCGTCCCCCTCGTGCCAGCGAGGAGAGACTCCTCTCTACCCACACTGCCGGGAAACATCACCACCCGCAAGATGAGACAGCCGCGCGGGGGACACCGGGCCGCCTGGCCCCAGTGCCTCATCCCCGCCGTGGCTGGAACAAACCCGGGCAGATGCAACTCGCCGAGGCCTGGGGTTTCAGCAACCCCAGCCGCCATCCTAATTCTCATAACAGAAACGATTCTCGCGGGACTTCCGGTGTTTGTCTTTTCTGTGGAGCGGACGCTCGGTGCCAACAGTGCACAGGCCGTGGTGTGTAGCCGCACAGGCGCCTCGGCACCAGGTGCTCCAGGTTCTTCTCCACGCCCGCCAGGAAAGTAAGGCAAGGCCAAGTTCACTGGAGAATGTCCTTGGGAGGCGGTATGGTTAGATATGGTAAGGTTAGGTCAGCTTCGGTTCGGTTCGGTTCTAACCATCCCAGCCTTGAGCGCACCATGCTCAAGGCACCACTTGCGCCTGGAGAACCATGGACAGAGCCACGGCGGGGCCTGCGACTTGGCGTGCAGGCATTTTCCCAGAAAGGGAACAAAGTGATCCTGCACGTCCAGAAAACACCTGTGGTTACGGCATCACCAACGGTGGCACGCGAGCTTTCAGGGCTATGGCAGAGTTCCGGAAAACTCGGATCCAGCGGCTGCACGGCTTTCTCACAACCAACCACGCGGCTGATGAGGGGCACGGTGACGCCGATGCGGCGATTCTTTGTACGAGGAAACGTGTCCCACGTGGAGGTTCCACGAGCCACCCTTGGCACGCAATGACAGGAGACCACACGCTCGAAGCCCAGGGTGGGCCTGCGGATCCCACCGTCCCGGGGCACGACAGTTCACGGAGAGGGCTTCAACCAACACTTCAGAAACCGCTGTGCGCTGCGTTTTGGGGTGACAGTAAAGAACGCCCGCGGCTCCGGAAAAGGCACTGAAACACTTCTCCCCGCCGAGACGTCTTCCTGGCCCCACTGCAGACACCGCGCGAGGCTGAGACAACTGGAAACAGGTCCAACGCAAAGGCAGACACGTCCCAGCCGTGTTCGGCACCCAGACGCCGACGTGTGCAACGACGCCCCTACTCTGAGTGCTGCTGGTCCTTTCTCTCCAGAGTAGCCACTTTCGTAAAACTATCCATGTTGACGTGTCACGGGCTTATGTTTTATTTTCAAGTGAATAAAGCAAGTTTTGCATTTCTCCAGTATGGTAAGAGCAAATGGGTGCCATCCCCGGGCAGGGAAGGCCTTTGGGGTCAGTACCACTCCCCGGAGTGCAGGGGCCCCAGGTCCCGGGTCTGAGACCTGGCGGTCCCGCCGCCCCCAGTTTCCCTTTGCAAGCTCTGGAGACGGAGCCGGGATGGCTCCTCCGGGGCGGCGGCGCGCCGGGCCTTCCGGCTGGCTTTCTGAGAAGCGGCAGTTTGTGGCCACTGGGAGAAGGCTTGCTGAGTAACAGCTTCACGGCGGGACCCGTGGGTGAGACCGAGGGCGCTCAGGTGAGCACGGGGCTCCTCCTGCCAACCGCGGGAGCCTCGGTGCCCAGTCCGATGCCTGATACACAGTGAGAGCTGGCAAAAAGGCCTGCCGGCTCATGCCAAGCCGATTCGGAATCCTTCCCGGCACACAGGCAGGTGCGCTGGTTGAAAATGGAAAACTGTCATCTTGCTGGTGCCGAGACGCCGGCCACTCTGTGCCTCCCGGGGATGCGGCCAGCAGGACCCCGTCTTCAGAGGGGGCCTGGAACCAGGGAGACACTCCCCATGCTGCCAGCTCTCCCCACCACCCCAGACCATGGCCGCTCTGGGGCTGTGTTCTCCGAGGCACAGGCGACACAGCACGGCTCCTAGGTCACCAGCACCAATGCCACGAGCCAAAGGCGATCCGGGAAGGCCTCAGGCCCGCCCCGGCCTCCATCAAGCCGCCGTGCAGAACAAGGTCCGACCCGAGGAGAGCAGACCCCACCGCCCTACCAGCCAGACCCTGGCTGCCTCCAGGCAGAGCGGGGGTCCAGCGGGAAGGTGGGGTCGCTGAAAGCAATGGTGAACAGACTGAAACTCGTTTGCTTGTTATTATCACACGCGCTGAGGTCTCTGAGCAGTATCAGTGACAAATCACCCTTCCCGCAAAACCTGCTGTGGGTCGGGGTAGAAACCACCGCTGTGGTCCAGCCGTGTCTCCATCACACTAAGCGGGGGCCTCGCGGGCACCCATCGCCACTGCTCCCCCTCGCAGCGCGGCTCTCCCACGCGGACCTCAATCCCAGCTGCACAGCCACACGGATACGAGAGCCCTGTGGCAGGCAGGGGCAGTCGGGGTCCCCGGTGGCCAGGAGGTCACGCGTCCCTGAGGTCAAACAGTGGACTCCACTCGAAACCTCGAATGCAGTGAGCAGGGGCGAGCGCGGGGCTGCAGCCCCTGCCGCCCGTCAGTCTGCGGCGCTGGGCGTGCGAGAGGCATCAGGACAAATCCGGGGAGTTGAGCACGTGGTCAGACTGCACTTCTGGTCTCATGTGGGTTCTCGGGAGTCTCCGTCGCACGCTCCCATGGCACTCACTGGTCCTGAGTACCTGCGTGTCTGTTGCTTCAGGCTCAGAGTGTGGCTCAGGTTTGTTAAAGCGTGGCGTCTCGGATTGACTGCGAGTGTAGACGGGGTGACAAACGCGGCTTCTCTCTTGCGCGTAAACATGGAACATGCGAGCAGCTCAGACCCAGTACAGGAACACGAGGGCCACTCCCGCTTCCACGGGGAACCAGCCTCGGCCAAACCTTCTTCTATTAAGAATGCATTCGTACTATTTCAAGGGTTAATCCATGGCTCTCTGCTTTATTGCTACTGCAATCGTTATTTTTTGTTTTTAATCTTTTCACTGGCGTGATACACACGGAGTTTAAAGACAGTGTTGATTTTCTTCTTCCTTAAACCTTAACTTTTACCGGGTTCACTTCCTGCTCAGTCCTGAGAATCGCTGTGCTGTTTGGAGGAGGAGGGACCGAGGAAGGGTCGTCTCCCGGGAATTAAGCCCGAGGTGATGCGCACGTGAGCACCGGGGCGCCCAGCCCGCCGCACACCCTCCGCCCGACACAGGCTCCAGGATGCCCAGGGGGAGCTGCGCGGGGCGGTGCCACGGGCCCAGGGGGACCAGCGGTGCCAATCTTGTGCGTCTACACAAGGGTAGAAACCCGGTGCTGTACGAGAGCTCTTCCCGGCCCCAACGCCGAGAGCTCGCTCGCGCTCTCACGCGTGCCAGGCTGCGTGCCGCATGGGCCGCCAGCCTTCCGGCCTGTTCTGGATGAGCTTGGCTTTGCCCTTTCGTCGAAGCGTCCTCTCCTTCTAGACTCTCGTCTTCCGGGTCTCCTGGGGCATGTGCTTCTGCTGCTTCTTCCCAGACTTCCCAGGGGCCCTGAGCATCCGGCCCCGGGCTGTGCGTGGCGGCCCTGCCCTAGAGTGCAAGGAGCGAGCCCGTGGACGCCGTGTGGGGCGCAGGCTGGACACAAAAGCCCTGTGACCAGCTTCCTTCTGGGACATTCCGTGCTTCCAAGAAGTTGCTGGTTTCCAGGGTGGGGGTGTCTGGGGAAGACCCCGTCAGCACTCTCTCCTTGGACGCCCGGGGGACTCCCGGGTACAGCATCCCGAGTCCCGAGTCTTGCCCTCTGGGCTCCACAGGACCAACGGGGTGCTGGGTTCCTGCGCTCCTGATTGCAAGGGGGCACAAAACCCAGCTGCCCTGCACAGGGCGTCTCCTCCTCGGATGGGGAGCTGGCTGCACCGGCTTCCCCCGGACCCTGCTGTCGCCCGCGATGGGACTGGGGCCGGCCCACCCCCGACCCACGCTCACCTTTCCTTTGATGCTGAGGCCTCCGGTGTCATACACGATGCCCTTGCCCACCCACGCGATGGTCTGTGTGGCTCCGTCGGGGGTGTGGCTGAGGACAGCCAAGGCCGGGGGATGGACGGCAGCTTTGCCGACGCCATAGATGCCTGCAAGAAGCACAGGGCAGCTTGGTGAGGGGCGGGCGGGGCTGCGTGGACTCCGGGACGGTCCTGGAAACGCTGGGTCCTCACACGGGCTGGTATTTCTCTAGGAGAACTGCCCAGCCGGCCGAGAGAGCGAGAGAGTGAGAGCGAGAGAGCGTGAGAGAGAGAGACGCCCCCACCGTATCACCTCCGGAAGAGCAGACTACAGGATGAGAGGATTCTTGGGAGATGCTCCAAGACCGCTCCGCCCATGCGGACCCTCTTCCCGGAGCCCTCCCTGCATAGCGGCTGAGCACGGGCCGAGCTCCCTCCCGCCTTCCCCGCGCCCCCGCCTCTCCAGCTCAAGGGTGGCATCTTCTCAAGGAAGCCCTGGCCTGCCTGTGGGTCCCCCAGCCACGGGTGGGAGCCCGCGGCTGCCCCAACTCCTCCTCAGCCCACAACACCCACTGCCAACGGCACCTCTTCCGTGGGGCTTTCCCCCACCCAGGCCCGCAGTGGGCACAGCCAGGGGGCACTTCTCAGGGCGGGCAGGGTCGGGCATCTCAGCTCCAACCAAAGGACACAGCGCCTAGTGTCCAGTCCTGAGACTGCATTCCAAGAAAAAGGCATCTGCTTCTCTCCCGTGTGCCCGCTCTCTCACTCTCGTGCCCCGGGGCATCCAGCGGCCCTGGGGAGTTACTGCCGCGTCCATCACACAGCACACTGCCAGCCAGCCCCGCCCACGGAGCTGATGCGGATGTGCTGCCCCTCCGCCCCTCTCTCCTGGGGAAATCTGTCTTGCAACCATGGATCTGCTGAGCCCTCGGGTTCCCAGGCCAGGGGATGTGCATCTGGGGCACTGGGGTGGGGGTGGGGGCTGTAAGAACATTCGGTTGGTGAGGCCGTCCGTGCCGAAGCCCTGGCGTGGACAGGGACGTGTGTATTCGAGGACCAGAGAGGCCCTGTGGGCTGGCCGGGAGCAGGGCTGTGTGGGGGCTGCAGAGGCGCAGGCAGGGGAAGCACTTGGATCCCACGGCTTCCAGAATCCAAATCCGAACCTGGACGGCTGCGCCCCCCCCACCCCCCGACAGCTCTGCTTCCCAGGCTCTGGCCTGGGGCTGGACACGGGCTGCAGCCTCTCAGGACACGGCAAGATGGAGTCCGGGAGAGTCAACCGGTGCCAGACAAGTGCCCACGCCCCGAGCCAAGACCCGCAACGACGCACAGCCCCCTCCTACCTCCAAAGCCCCTCGTCTTGAGCTCCTCGTCCCGGATGATGGTGGGGGCGATCCCCAGTTCCTTCCCAACCTTGTTGATCTCCTGGACAAGTTCGTGGAAAAAAACAAGACGAGCGCAGGTGAGGGTGGCTTTGGTCAAGTGAGGCCCGGCTACCTGCACGGCGGGAGGAGTCCACCCTGGAAGGCGGCCACCCCTGGACTCTCCTGGGAACCCAGGAGGGAGGGCTCCCCCTGCAAGGCCCCCGCGTCCAGCAGCTCAGGCTGCAGCCCTGCGGAGGCCTGGAGGCCTGGGTGGACAGCGGCGCTCCCCGGGCTCCTCTGCTTCGCCTGGGGGCCCAGCTCACTCACCCCAGTCTGGTCCCTGCCCCCGCGCCGGGGCTCACCCACCTCGAGGAAGGTGTCCGTGTTCATCTCACTGCAGGGCGTGTCCACGATGCGGGCCGCCAGCCGCACACCCTCCGTGGCGCTGGCTAAGCACTGGGAGAAAGCGAAAGGCTGTCACGAGGGCCCTGGGGCTGGGTGGAGCGCGTCCCCTTCTTGTCCACCTCCTAGGAGCCCGGAGGCATCAGGGCACTGGCTGGCTCTGGGAGCCCGTGGGGCTGCTGACGGGGCGGCAGGGGCAGTGGGAAGGAAGGCAAGGCCCACGCCGCCTGCCCCTCCCCATGGCCGTGACCCAGCACGCTGGCCTTGCACAGCCTCGGCCAATGCACCTCTAGATGTACAGGCACCCTCGGCCAGGGCCCTGACCTCACAGACTGAGGCCCAGTTTCCGTTCCGAGCCTCCTGTCCTGCTCCTCGCCCCATCTCCGTGAAACTCCAGGGCACGGAGCTCTGGGCACAGGCGAGGCAGCCCCCGTGCCCTCTGTCCGGGGAGCCAGCCGTCCCCCCAGGTTCCGCTTGCTTTTGCAGACCCACCCCAGCACCGGAAGGGGGAGGGGCCGAGAACAGGAAGGACCCTGGGCCTCGCGGGGCTTCAGACCCGGCAAGCCTAGAGGGCACAGACGTGCAGACAGGCTGCACATGTGCCGAATCGGGCTGCTCCCCGGGTGCCCGGGAAGGGCCTTGCCCCAGCTGAACCTGGGACACCCCTGCCCCTGGGCCCCAACGTCCGTGGCCAGGCTCGGAAGTGGCGAGTTCTGCCTGCCACAGCACAATACTGACAGCAAAGCCCGTGTGGGCTTCGGCACGACATCCGCCCTCCCCCGCTCACCCGAGGCATGTCGTGCAGGGTTGACACTGCCCCCCAGCCAATGAGAGTCTGCCCGCACCTGCCCAGGTTCTTCAACCCCCACGGCTGGGACTTGAGGGTCCCGGCCCCCCGTCAGCGGGTGCTCATCCTGTCTGGGACTGGTCCCAAGGGCAGTGGGCATCACCTCCAAGACCCCAGGCAGAAGCAGGGTGAGAGGGCAAAGGACGAGGCTGTTTCCTCCTCCTAACTCCCGTCCATCTGTACCGTCCATGTTCATGGTGCGAACTGCGTGCCAGGCACTGGGCCAGATCCGAGAGCTTGTGATGGCCGAGGGCCTACGGCCAGCAGAGGCCATACACACGGCTTCAGGAAGGGGGCCCAAGCTAGGGTTTGCTGGCTGGGTGCTGGGGGGAGAGGGGGCATGGCCTTAAGAAGGCAAAGCAGTAAGACACAAAGTGAGGACCAGGCACCCTGGGGGGCGACAGAAGGGAAGAACAAGGGGCAGGGGCTCCGTGGGTGGAGGGCAGGGTGGGTGTGGCCGTGGTGCAGGCTGCCCCTGTGGGCAGAGGAGCCCTGGGTCAGGCCCACGGGGGAACCTCAGGGTGGGGGCTGCTCATGTCAAAGTGCACCACAGGGCAGGGCGGTCGTCACCATGGAAACACGACTGACCGGGCTTGTCACTGGCCAGGTGCTCACCCAGCACAGGCCCCACAGCCCAGAGTCTCAGACAAAGCCAGGCTCCCGCGGAACCTCCACACGGAGCTGCCCAGGCCGCCCTGGGGCTCCCTGCGCAGGTGCAGCCCAGGGCCGGGGTCTGCGCGGCCAGACACCCACTTGCAGCGTGGACACCTCCACCGGCCCGTTGTCCTGTCCCACCAGGAGAAACTCCACCACGACCGTCTTCTTCTCCGTGCGCCGAGACGCCCCCGAGCGGCGAGTGAACAGCGGGAAGACGCGGGCCAGGGCGCAGGCCGAGGCGAACACGTCGGGCTGTTCACAGACCATCTGCACAGGGAGAGACAGGGGCTGAGGGGCCGCAGGGGTGTGGGGGCGTGGGAGTCCGGGCCAGCCCCTTGGGTCTCCCTGGAGCCACAGAGAGGCAGGGAGCGCCAGGACAGATGTCAACTGGGCTGGCTCGGGGCACCGTTTGCCACCAGGGTGAGGTGGGGGCAGCCACCGGGCCCCTGGCTCTGCTTCCGTGTGTGCAGGGCAGAGGTGGTGGTGTGGGAGGTGTGCGCCCGTCTCTGGGTCCCCCCGGGGTGCGGGGCCCAGTGTGCTGGGCTGGGCGCGGCTGCTGCCAGCGGCACTCACCAGGATGCACCGATGGGCGCCGGGCGGCAGGCAGGTGCGCACCAGCCGGGTGATGAAGTGGGCGGCCGAGGGGCTGTTGTGTCTGCTCACCCTGGAGGGCAGGGCGGCCACCGTGGCATAGTTCAGGTACAGGGGACAGCTGTCCGTGGGGTTGGGGTTGAGGGTGCCCAGGGCGGCCTGCCACAGCTGGAGGGGCGGGAGGGAGAGAGGCACGGGCGTCAAGTTTGGCGGGCACGGACGGAAGGGCCCTGCCCGAGGGCGTCCCTGCAGGCCCCTTCCGCCCGCGTGCGGGGTGGAGGCCGTCGGGGCTCACTGGCCGGTGCGGCCGCCTGTGGTTCACACACTCAGCCCCGACTGCACGGGACTGGGCCGCCTTCCCCCGGGGCGGGGACGGGCCGGGGCCTCCACCGCGAGGCAGGTGGGCAGCGGCCCAGGCGTTTCTGGGAGCCAGGGCCCGCCGGGCGCAGCTCCCACGGCGGGCGCGGAGGCCGGGGCAGGCCGGGCCCGGGCGAGCGGGCGGCGCGGCGGGGCCTGCGCGCCCCCGGCCTGGGCCTCCGCGGCCGGCGCATGGCGGCGCGGCCCGCTCACCTCCTCGGTGACCCGGGGCTGCAGCTTCCCGCGGATGTGGCTCCAGGGCACGCGGTGCAGGTGGTGCAGCTGCCCGAGCAGCAGCAGGGGCCGGCTCTGCGGGTCCGCGTCCCCGGCGCTCGCCTGGAACTGCAGCCCCACGTTCGCCATCTTCCCGCCGCCCGGCCGGCCCGCCCGGCCCGCCGCTCGCCCCGCCGCCCGCCGGGCCCGGGCTCGGCGCCGCCCCGGCCCGCCCGGCGCCCGCGGGCCCCGCCTCCCCCGCCGCCGCGGGCCGCTCGCGAGAGTGCGCGGCCCGCCCGGGGCGCGAGGGGGCGCCGGCCGGGCCGGCCCCGAGGCCGGAGGCCCTTCCGGGACGGCCCGAGCGCTGGCCGGGAGCCTGGGCCGCGCCGCGCGGGCCCGGGGGCCCCAGGCCGGGGAGGCAGGCTCGGGGCGGTGGGGCGCTTCCCTGCCTGGGCTGGGGCCGGCGGCCCGGTCCGCAGAGGCCTCGGGGTCGAGGGTCCTGGGCCTGGGGGGGGGGGGGACAGAGGCACTGCCTTGGGGTTGGGGAGGGCTCCTGTCCACGGAGGGTCACCGGTCCACAGCCTCGGCGAGCCGCCCCACGGCCCCCAAATCCCATTTAGGGAGAGGGAGTGAGGGAGGGGGATGGCACCCCTGGCAGCCCCCGAGCCCCCATGGGAAGGAAGGGGTCTGGGGGAGGGGTGGAGGAAGGAGGTGACCCCCCACCCCCGCCCGGTCCTCACTCCTGATGGGGCTCCCATAGAGGGCTTCTGCTTCAAAACACGAATCTTACCCCATGCTGCCCGCACCTGATTGTCCAAGGCCCGGCCAGCCCCGGCCGGTTCTGTATGCCACTTGTGTGGCTTTGAGCAGGATCTGCACCAACAACCTCAGGGCACCGGGCGGCCCAGCCAGGACTCTGCCGTGGCCCTGGGCACTCTCAGCCCACCTGCTCGCTGCCCCTGGCCAGCTCTGCCGGCTGCCCCAGCACCCCGAAGGCAGGGCATGCGGCCGCCTGTTCTCCCTCCCCAGCGCCCGCACCCTCCGGGAGCCGCAAAACAGCTGTTGAATGAGCGGAGGGAATTTCCGACATAAAAGTCCGTGCTAATTGGCTCTTATTTTCTTGGAAAGATTTTTGCCGCTGAATGTTTTCACACATCCGTGAAGGGTACTGAGAGCGCCTATGCAGATCCCTCACTTCTCCCTGTGTGCAAACACGAGGCAGAGGGTGGAGGCGGCGGGCACCCTCCCGATGAGGACCAGGCACGGCCCGGCTCCCGGGGGAGAGTGCCCCGCACAGCAGTGGCCGGGGCCCCCGAAACCAGTGTGGTTAGCGCAGAGGGCTGGGAGGACAGAGACAGATGGGCAGCGGCACACTAGGCGTGGGGGAGCCGGATCCTGCAGTGTTGTGTGTGGGGAGTTGGAAGCTGTCGGCCGCGAGGTCGCTTGGAGACTTGAAGAACAGGCTGAGTAATGAACCCCAAAGGCCCGGGAAGGGTGGCCAGGGGTTCAGTGCACCCAGCAGAGCAGGAGCACGTGCCAGTCGGAAGCCAACCTCCGTGAGTCTGGGCTTCATCCACCCCTGCACCGAAGAAATCCAAAGTCAACAACGCCCAGGGGAACTGTTCCACTGCCGGGCCTGCCGGCTTCCTGGCGGCGCGCACGGTGACAGGACAGATGGTAACCCGCGCCAGACCGTGTTTGTGACGGTCTCCATCCAGGGCTTAGCATGTATTTCACTGTGCACGAGAGGTTCACCTCTATTTCATTTTCTTTACAAATGAACGTTTAAAATAAATGGCCGGTTCTTCGATGAAACCCAAGACGACTTGAGGAAGGGGTGAGGAATTTCTGGAGGACACGGGACGAGCGAGGAAGTTTCGGGGTGCAGCTGACCGTCTAGGACACGTGTCTGGAGCCTTGTCAGGTCAGACAGCCCCAGGTGTCTACTGGTGCATTTGCAGTTAAATGTGCATCCACTCCAGCTTGGACTCCGCTGGGACACCCACAGGGTCCCCGACCCCATTCTACCTGATGCAAACACAAGGCCCCGTGCTCCCTGGTGCTTCCATTGGACATCCACCCCTCCTCTCCGTCATTCGACGCTTATCCAGGCTAAGTTCTGAGTAAGGGACTCCAGGTGTTGTCAGGGCACGTGCTGTGTGTGTGTGAGAGAGAGAGAGGGAGAGGGAGGGGGAGGGGGAGGGAGGGGAGGGGAGGGGGAGAGAGGATGAGGGCACTTCGGTTTGTGGGGAAACAAAATTCTGAATTTATTTGGGTGTGAGAAACTTTGGAAGCCACTCATCCACGTGGATTCTTCAAGAAGTCATAGAAAATGTATATTATGTCAAAATTATGCATGGATTTTGCATTTTTTTCACACCAGAAATAAATGCATCTTTTCATTCCCTGTCCAAGTGTTGTAGGATAAAATCGATCAGGTTTGTGAGCTGGAAGACCACGCCTTCACCACGCCCCGTGTGACCGCATGCCTACCTGACCACACCTGTGTCCACCTGCCAATCAGGCTAATTAGCCACGCCCCTTTGGAAGTGGATTAAAGGCCTGGGACACAGTGGGCCCGGCCCATTTTCATTCTGCCCTGGACCCGCTTGCTGCCCTGCCCTTCGGGCCACCGGCCCCACGCTCCCCCCGTGGCTCCCGGTGCTCGGTGTGAACCCAGATGTCCGTGTCTCTTTCAGACAGGGCCCTCGCCCCCTGTGCATTTCTCTCACTGAATAAAAAGCTTAAAACTGACCATGCTGCCTCGGTCACTTATGCCAGTATCCAGAATTCTCTGAGGCAAGAGCCCACAGGCTTATTAGCATTGCGCATTTATTAATAAGCACCTGTGTGCATGTCTGTGTGGGAGGGGGGACAGGGTGCGAACCAGCCGCTCCCATAAAATAACGTCCCTGGGAGCAGACGGAGTCGGCAAGGCTCCCCCAGATGAGGACGGGCCTTGAGGGATGGGGTCACAGGGGCAGTCTGACTCCTGACCCCACCCCGCCAGGGAACTGTCCGCAGAGGCCTGGCATTTGCAGGACGTGGCCTGCTGGGTCGATGCCCTGAGCTCAGATGACTGGACACGGGGGGGCAGAGCTTGGGGTGCGTTTGGGCACCTGCACGGCAGCCGTCGGGACCAACCCGTGGTGGAGGTGGGGGCGTGCCTGCTGGCAATGATCCCTGCTCCCGAGCCCAGAGGACGAAGAGGCCAGCCCAGTTCCATCCAGAAACAGCTGGCCGGCAGCTGAGACCAAGGCTGGGACACTGGCTGGGCCGCCCTGAGCGCTGGACCTCCAGCCTTCCCTCACCATGTCCTGGGTTCCTGGACACCAGGGAGTGCCTCGGGGACACGCTGACTCCGTGGCCCCCGACACGCCACCCACGGGTACCGAAGGTTCCCCCAAGGAAACAGAGAACTCATTGCCACAAAAAGCACACGTCTCCGGAAACCTTGAGAAACGCATTAACTCGAGCGGAAGTTGAGGTGCTGGCATAATGGACAGGTGTACACCCGGCACCCAGACTCCTGAGACGGCACTTCAAAACCTCTGTGGAGAAATGGGATTAAAAGGTGAATTCAGGGGCCGGCGCTGCGGTGTAGCAGGGGAAGCCGCTGCCTGCAGTGCCGGCATCCCATAAGGGCTCTGGTTCAAGTCCCAGCTGCTCTACTTCCGATCCAGCTCTCTGCTGTGGCCTGGGAAAGCAGTAGAAGGTGGCCCAAGTCCTTGGGTCCCTGCACCCACGTGGGAGACCCGGAAGAAGCTCCTGGCTCCTCTCTCTCTCTCTCTCTCTCTCTGCCTCTCCTTCTCTCTCTGTGTAACTCTGACTTTCAAATAAATAAATAAATACATCTTTAAAAAAAAAGTGAGTTCACTTTGGTGCAAAATATTTTGAAACCCATGGGTATTGTTTTTGAAGACCCCTTCCTATGCATGGAATTCAAGATTTTTTTTGCACCAAAATAAACTTATCTTTTAATTCTGTTTTTCCACATTTTGAAGCACCTTAAGATACTGATTTACACACCTACATGTGTGCACATTTTTTTTGCATCATTTAAATGAAGTCGCACACACTTATCCCCAAATATCTGAGTTGTAGCTCTTCGCTAGTCCAGTTTCAATATCCTGACCAGGCCACTGCCTAAAATACAGAAGGCACCGAAATTTCCTTATTTGTCCCCATATGTCCCTCGTGGCACTACAGCCACAGTCCAAACAAGGATCAGGCGTTCCCCGGGGCTGTCAGCCTCTCTGCTCCCCCGCAATCGAGAACAGTCCCGGCCGTGTCTCCGGTGACACCGACCCGTCCCAGGGAGGCCTGGCGGTGCACACGTGTGGCGTGTTCCCCACTGCGGCTCCGTGCCCCACTCCACCGGCCACAGTGGGCTCCAGGGGTTAAGTGGGGCCGGCCAGACCCCTCGTGGGAAACGCGTGCGTCTTCCTTTGATGATGAGTAGAATTAGAAACGGATTCCACTTTATGATCCGAGGAGGGACACTTGAGACCACGTGCAAGGAGACTTCAAAACGCTTGTGGGAAAGTGGAATCCAAAGTACGAGTTGATTATGTCGGTGTAAAAGCAGTGGAAACCTCTGCCTGTGTTTTCCTTCATCGCATACATTTTTCATGAGCTTTTTGAAGGCCCCTGGTATGCATGGTTTCAAATTTGCATAAAATTAACTTGTCTTTTAATTCCACTTTCCACAAAGCTTCTGAGGCTCCCGATAACCCCTTCCCCAATGTCTTCAGTGTGCAATGATGACTCTGCCCGAACCCAGCGCGGGTGCCAGGTGGTCACTTTGTGCCGCCTCGCTACCTGGGGGGAGGGGGACTTCAGGCGCCGACCCTCCCCACCCCCGGTCCCCAGAACTGGCCACCCCGGTCCCCAGAACTGGCCACAGAACTCGTGGGGCCCAGTGCAAGATGCGACTTATCCAGAGAGCACCGTGAGGGTGGACCAGACATGGGCGCACGAGACTCCCACGGCTGCCCCGTGTGCCTGGCTCAGGCCACCACCCCACGGGCCCCCATCAGGCCAGGGGGAGCCTCCTCAGACTGGTTCGGGGGTCTTCCGAGGACGCTTGTCCTCTCTGGAATAAGAGGGTCCACAGGCTCACTCCGCTCCTTCTCGGCCTTAAATCTGGAAGCAGCCATTTCTCCGAGAAACGCCGGCCACCGTGGGGGTGGCTGGTGAGAACCCCAGCCCCCCGCGCCGGGCATGCTGGCCCCCCGCAGGACAGGAGTAGGAGCTGCTTCCCGAGTCCTGCCAGGGAAACCCCACCGTGCAGGGTTCACGCTCAGCTGCCTGCCTTCCGTCTCCAGGTCAGCCCCTCCCCACCGGGGACGTGGCTCCCATCACCGTCCTGTGGACCCTCCTGTGCTGGCCCTGCCGCTCTCAGCCACAGCCTCTGCCTCTGAGATCACCCGACTGTTCAAGTGCGTACCCCCTCCCCCACGTATCCAAAGTGGGGCGGGGATATCGATGGGAACCACATTTAGCTCAGGGTAGGGGTCCGCGTCTTCACACACGTGAGACATTTCTATCGGCCCAAAGTCACAGCTATACAAAGCCAGCCTCAGCCAGGCCCCTGGTCTCCCCCGGTCCCTCCCCTCGGGAACCACTTCTCATGAGCTTTTGGTTTATCCCTCCTGTCACTTTTGGGGACACAAATCAGGTTCCATATATTCATGGGTCTTACGCAAAGGCTACAGAGTGCGTGTGATCCTTTTTTGGCGGCCTTGTTTGGAAAGCACGCGTGTCACCTGTGCAGACGCCGAGTTCTCCCTCCCTGCTTTGGGGGTGGGGGTGGGGAGAAGGCGCTAATCAAGGTGGAGTCGCCGGCGCATTTATTAACAGCAGCGACGTCGGGCTCCGCACTCCAGCCCACGAGGGGCTCCGGCAGGTGTCCGGTGGCACGGCTTCTGTGGCAGTAACTGCCCCCCAACGACTCCTCGTCTCGGGACTGCGTTTTAGTTCCCTCTCAGTACCAGCAACACCTGCAGCTGTGGACGTTCTCAAGGGCACACCGGGGGCCTGGGGAGTGGGAGTCGGCGGCGTGGAGGCCAGAGCAGCCCGCACCTGCTCCCCGCAAACAGCCCAAACGCACGCGTCGCGGGCACGTGGTGCTCTGGGCCGAGAAATCTCCTCTTGAGGCGTCTTCCCTGTGGGACCCTTTAAACAGCATGTTTCTCTCCAGTGCCTGGTCGATGAGTCAGTCTTCAAAAGCCTGAGTCACACTTTTAATTTTTTTCCCAGAAGCGTCCCTGTGCTCGCTATGCGGCCCTGATACTCGAATGCAGATCTTTTAGAAAGTAAACAGGACCGGGGATGCTGTTGCTGAGCAGGGCAGGGAAAAACGAGGCAGAAACCACTGGATTTGTTTTAAAAGAAAACGAGAAGGAAATTCAGTATTTTTTATTTTCACTGAATCTGGAAGCTTCCACGTTTCGGGCTGGTTCATAGTTAGGGTTGGAAAACATGAAGAGCCCCCGTCTTCCTTGCATTTCAGCGCAGGTTAAAATGCTGGATTTGAAATCAGATCGCCTCCCCGCTCTGCGATTCATAAAACCCGAGTGACATTGCAACCTAAACAGAGCAAGAGGCCTTGCAGTCAAGCTCGTGGTTTTCCTAACGTCTCCACAAATCCACGAATACTTAAACATTTCGTATGAGAACCATAAAAAGACATCTGCAGCCTTCTTCCTGACCAGGAATACACAGGCCACGTGCGGTGCGAGCGGGCGGCTGACCTCGCACTCCCGTGCCTGGGACCAGAGTGCGGCTGCTCGCCGTCTCCCAGTACGCTGGGGACCCTTGGGGCAGCAGGCGCTTCGTTGCAAGCAGTGCTGCCCAGGGAGGAGCAGGAAGACCCGAGGGAAGAGGGGGCAGGGGGCAGCCGGCCGGGGCCGCCCCGCGTGGGCCTGTGCCACGGCTGGGGACGTGGCAGCCCCCCGTGGGGCAAAGACCCACACTCAAGCCTCCTCCAGGCTGGAGTTCTGTGTAAATCTAATCATTAGCATGAACCGAAGGCACTGTCATTGTTTAACTCACCCGACCTTTTAAATGGATAACCAACCTTGAGGCTTTAATTGGATTTAAAAAAAATCAATTTCGAGCCATTGCACAGTGTCGAAGTGAAGTGCTGCATTCTCAGGCAATTGTAAAACCAGTTTTGCTCAAGACTATTTTTTTTTTATTATTTACAAGTTTAAAATGACATTATCCATCTCAGCCAGCGTTTTCTGGACACACGGACGCACACCACGTCGTGCCACAAACGCATCATCATCTTCTGTACTGAATCGGCGGCGGCAATCTCTTCACACAATCACACAAAAAACCCAGCGAGGGATAATGACACGGCACCGGCTGCAAATCTCTCAGCCTCAGCCCCGCGCTCATCTTTGTAATAATAATAAGAAAAAAATCCTTGAGGAAGCTTTTTACCAAATCACATCTTGACCATTAAATCTTTCTCGAAGAAGGTCATTTAATTTTATGGAAAGAAATGAACAATTAAAATGGCATAAGCAGACACCACGCTGGTCTGGCCATGAAGATGCTGGCGAGCCCGTCCTGGGCCCGCCTGGCGACTGCCCTGGGACCTTGGCAAACCCCGGGCAGGTCTCTCAGCCTGGCCCTCTGTGGAGGGGGAGGCTCGCCCTCCCTCTGTTCCCGCACCCCAGGTCGGAGCGCCAGCAAACAGGCCCCTGCGCCCGCCCCCGGGCAGCCGCTGGGAGACAGGCGGAGATGCGTGCAAACCGGGGCCCTGGGCCTCCATCACAGAGCAGCGGGGGGCGGGGAGTGCTAATGGTGGAATCTGGATGATTAGCTGGAGCAATTATAGAATTAGAGTTGAAAAACAGAAAATGCCAAGCCCAGTGGTCTGCTTTCACGGAGCGCCGTTTCAACGTGTGCCGTGTTGAATGGCGCCTCGCTGAAATGGGCCTTTGTGGCCAGATTACAGAGCCCGAGTGACGGCCGCACAATGGTCCCCAGCACCCAGGACAGTCCAGGGAGCTAATTTGGACCATTGGACAAACCATTATTTTCTTTTGCCTCAATTGATCAGATAATTGTACACAAGTCTGCCATCTGGCACTATGGACCGTCCCCTTGGGTGGCCACGGGCACACTGACGTGTCTGAGGTGGCACAGGATGCACACGCGCCCACTCTCCAACCCCGAGTCCTACATCAGAGCCACTCCCACGGGAGCCGAGGTCACCCCGACACCTGTCACTCCGCAGGGGGCACTTCTCCCTGGGCTCCACAAAGCACCCGAACAACGCCGGGCAACAAGGGTAGAGGGAACTCGGGGGAGGACCAGGGGCTGCTCTGCAGACGGGCACCCCAGCACTGAGCGCCTGCGGTGCCCACCGGGGCTGCCCAGCCAACGCCTGGGGCAAACACAACCTCAACCCCAGATCAGCACAGCCCCGTCTCCCCACATGGTCTGACCAGGAGGGATCCAGATGGCCAGCGCCGAGGCTGCTGGGGGAAGGGTGCTCTCCTCTTACATTCACACACACCAGGCGGGGCTGGCCCGGTGTCGCCGTGTCACCACAAGGCAAACTCTCTACACGCCTATCTCAAGCTCAGGGCTATGATCAGACTCCCACAGATGTCTGTTGACTTTGAAAGGGTAAACCCACATCTGGCCTGTTTTCCCACCGGCAAGGTGAGCACGCCAGGGCACCTCAAGGGCTCTGCTGTGCCAAGACCTCTGGGCCTCGGCAGTCCCTGTGGCTTCCCTGCCCAGTGGTGATGTGCCAGATTCTCCCTGCACACCCTTACAGGGCCAACTCAAGACCGGACTCAGTTGGGAACACGGCCCAAGAGGTTGCCACCAACAACCAGACTTACTGCAGGGCCTCCACATTCACACGCGTGCTGAATTCTCACACGTGGCCACCTCCACGCAGTCTGCACCAGGATGGCGTGTCTGCTTCCTGTGACCAGCACGGTCGGGATGTTCTTGAACCCCATGGCAAGCGTCCACCGTCTCTGAGAGTGGCCGGGGGCCGAGTTGGGCCAGTGTCATTTCCAGTGGTGAGCGTGGTCAGTGGTCATCAGTGCCTGCAGGTGACGGCCCCAGGAAGGGCCAGCCAGCCAGGACTGGGCACCCGGCCTGCCAACAGAGCAACTGCATCCCAGCCTAGGGCCACCTCTCCCGCGTCCAGGCCACCCGGCATCCACGGGGGACCCGGGCCGCGTACTGGAGCGCAGCTGTGTAACTGGCCAACACCGTGTCTGAGGCTTTGGGTGTAACAGGAAACATTCAGTCTCACGAGCCTGTGTGTGCAGTGAGAGGGGCCGTGTAGCCTCTGTTGTCACCAGGAAGTAAACGCCTGCCTCAAGGAGGATACCCCCTGCACCCTGGCAGAGGCCGGGTCGGCCCTCGACACCCAGAGCCCGCCCCTCACGCGAAACAGGAACCCAGGGTTAAATTAACACTAGGATCGCGGGACATTCTTTCATCTGCATGATTGCTTTATTGTACAAAAAGTTTCCAGTAACAGTAAATTAGTTTTTTAAAAAGGACAAAAAAAGTCATTTTGGATAGAGGCGCTTCACTAATTGCTTTATTTAAGCATACAAGGAAAAAAATCTTATCTGACCAATTAGGTTGGAAGGGTTTTATTACCTTTAAGAAGCCATTAGCTGGAATAAAACACTGAAAGCACTTGTGTCAAAACAAATAAATAATGCTCTCTCAATTAGCAGAGAAAGCGGTAAATCCGTTAAATTAGAGACGCACACTGCTTCCCAGGCACGGCCCAGCCAGCACCCCCACCCCAACCGCACAAAACAAGAGACAGCAGTTTCACTCGCAATCCGGGGAGAGGTCAGGCGCTCCGGGGACCTGCGGGCACCTTCCTGTTTCTCCTCCCAGCGCCACTCCACTGGCGCCACCTGAGGAGCCTGTCCAGGGGGCGCCGTGCCCGGGGAGACCCGCCTGAGCGACGGTCACCTCCCAGCCCAACAGGGACCCGGTGGCCACAGACGCGGTGGCCGCCGCGGGCTCACTTGGAGGGAAGCCACGACCTGAGCTACCAGGTGCGCGTTCTCTTGCCCGGCTGCTCGTGACCTTCCCCCAAGTACAGGCTCAACAGCCACAAACGGGGGCCTGAGGGCCCCAACAGGGCACTGGGCAGCTCGGGGGCCTGCAGTTCCCACCTTGGCTCGCCAGCCCTGCTGGCCCATAGCTGGTCCCGCGCTGCTTCCGGCAGACTGGGACCCCTCTGCCACCCCACGGGACCCCTGTGAGTTTCTCAGCACAAGTGGGTTGGGGAGGGGAGACCCCCATCTGCTGAAAATAAACAGAACCCATGGCGAGCTTCTCCTAAAGGGCCACTTTCCTGGAAGGCCCCAAGACTCGGCGTCTCCCAGAGCTCCAAAGGTCATCCAGCTTGGCCGTGGCCGTGGCCGTGCCTGCCGGCCTGACCGGCGTGCTGACCCTGGGGAACACCTCGGTCCTCTGGGGTCTGTCACCGCCCCACACTCGAGGCGGCACCCCGGTGCGTTTCCCTAACACGTGTCTGCTCGGGGATGCCAGCCCGGTTCCTGAACGGCCAGGGCCCCCAGCCAGGTCCTTCCCATTCCACGGCCGCATCAGCAGGAAGAAAACCAGGGGCTGCCTGGAGGAAGAAGCCCCTTGGGGAGCGGTGGCAAGGCAAGGCCTGGGGTTCAGCCCATGTTCTCTCTGGACCCAACTCCTGGACACCACGCCAGCGCCAACACGGAAGGCATTGTATGCGGCTGGTCCAAATCAGATGTGACAGGTTCATGAGGTCATGCTCTTCCTAAACTTTTTACGAGAAGAGCCATCAAAAATGACACAAGGACCATCAAAACTGTCTGGTGTCCCCTCAGACAAGGCCAAGAACACGGGTGACTTCCGTCACAGTCCCCGTTATTCCACAGTCCCGGGAATGTTTTCAAGCACCATATTGATCATAGGCAGGTAAACAACAGTCTCACCTGGGCGACCTGATCCGCACCCCTAACAATGAGGGGTTTCCTACCCAAGATTCTCACCATCCTTGGGAACAGGCCTGCTTCCCGGGCATTGCTAAGTGGCGATGGAAGAGCCGATAAATCAAATCGCTGGTGGAATATTTTACTTTGAAATGGAGTGATGTTTGGTTAATAATTTGAGACCCACTAATCCTAAATGGGGTGACCCATTTAAAATGGCCTCTGTGTAAATTCACAGTTCATTAAGTGGAGTTTGGTTTGAACAGGTCATTATGTGGTTAGTGTGTAAGTAATGGGCTGAGCAAGGCCAGCTGGGGACGAGCAGGGGCCGCGCTGGCTCAATCTGGTTGACTTTCCGCCACCGTCAAGCTTCCTCGCGAGTGAGCTTGGCTCCCGTCACCAACGTCTGCACGTAGGTGGTTCTGCCTAGCAACCCCTTTGGTTTATAGTAGAAAACACAGTGCAAAAATGTAAAATGAGGCATACTCTATTTACAATTAATTTAAACTTATGACGCTGTTTGAACTGGCCCATCTAAATGTGTTAATTAACATCAATGATGGCTTTCTATTTTTCACACTTTGTTACTCTGATCGTTAACAGTGATGGAAAAGCTAAATTAAGTTAATGGGGAACGGATTATAAATTCTTAAAGGACTTCTCAGTTTGTTGTCAACTGGAAAATATACAGAAAGATGAAGAGGCATTTTTGCCTCTACTCATAAATTTTTGGTACCAAATTTCTTAAAAACCACATGGCTTTAAAAAAATTTTTTCCAAAAATTATTTTAACATGATGCTGCTCAGACACAACTGCTAAAAAAAATAGCATATATACGTAATACTGAACAGCTCTGCAAGGCCGGCCAACATCCAATTCCTTTTCTCTTTCCAAAAAAATATATATTATAACTGATCACAGAACTCAACCTCTATTCTGCAACAGTATCCAAAGTCCTAAGCTCCTGACAGTGAAGGAGACACCAAAGCTCACGCCCTGGGCTGAGCAGGGCTGGGAGAGTCCCCTGGACAGGCAGGCTGCTCCCCTGCAGGTAGCTAGCAGCATGGCCGGTCCCCTCACGCGTGGGAGATCCGAGTGTGCGGCACCACGGGAACCCAGCGCCACTTAGCGAGACTTCACACCGACGAGGACAACAATGAGGACGATGATGATGACAAATAATATTAAAATCACAAGCATCTTCCGATTCTTCTTTTGATACTGCTCTGCCTATGGGAAGAGGGGCGGAGAAAGACAGTCATTCTCCCCAAGTCCAAATCAGTCTCCTCACTTCACTGTGGGTCTCAGCTCTGTGTGATCGGCGTCCCCCCGCCCCACACCCCAGGAGCTGAGGTGAGCCCCAGCCACCAGCATGCGGGGGCCGTGGTGCTGGTGCTGATTTGCCTGGGTCGGGACCTGCTTCTGCCACCACCCACACGCGGCTACGACCCGCTCCTTCATGCAGGGCTTCCTGCCAGCCCCGTTCCTCAACAGGTGCACACCCGACACCACGAAAGAGAGCAGCTCGCTAACGACCCCGTGGGCGGGGGGCACGGAACTCACGGAACCAGAGAGGCCCATTTCTGATCTCTCCCGAATCTAGAAACAAGAAAGCAACCATCCCTGGAACTAAACACGGGCGAGGGTGCTCCCTCCGTGAATGTCATGTGCAGACTCCACCGGAGCTAAGTCCTCCCAGAGCTCCGAGTACACGCATCAGCCAGCGCGACCTCCACCCTGCTTCACACTTCTTCCCCTGACCAGGGTCACAGGGCTCTCCAAGGGAGTGCACCAACCATGCCGTGCTGCAGAAGTGGGGAGTGCCACCGACCACGCCCCTGCTGAAGTGGGGAGTGCCACCAACCACGCCCCTGCTGTAGAAGTGCCACACCGACAGACACGGAGGCCTGAGGGCGGGGAGCTGCTGTCTCCCTCTTGTCTCGCGTCCAAGGTCCCCAGCCTCCCGACTGCTCCTGCTCTCCTCTGTGAGCCTCCTGGTCCATCTGGAAGAGCCCCTGTCACCCTGGAGAAGGGTGCGGGCTGGTCAGAGCACCCAGAGTCCTGCCTCCGGGGCAGCTCCCGAGGCGAGCGACGACCAGGGCACCAGCGGGTGGGTGCTGACGGCCGCACGATGGCCGCGATGAAACGCAGCTTGCCTGATTTCCTAACAGGCAGCCTGGAGCACTTGGGAAGTCAGTGCCAGATGATACTCTCTAAAACCTCTCACAGCCGGCGCCGCGGCCAATAGGCTAATCCTCCGCCTGGCAGCGCTGGCACACCGGGTTCTAGTCCCGGTCGGGGCGCCGGATTCTGTCCCAGTTGCTCCTCTTCCAGTCCAGCTCTCTGCTGTGGCCCGGGAGTGCAGTGGAGGATGGCCCAGGTGCTTGGGCCCTGCACCCCATGGAGACCAGGAGAAGCACCTGGCTCCTGGCTTCGGATTGGCGCAGCGCCGGCTGTAGCAGCCATTTGGGGGGTGAACCAACGGAAGAAAGACCTTTCTCTCTGTCTCTCTCACTGTCTAACTCTGCCTGTCAAAAAAATTTAAAAAATAATAAAAAAGATATTAACAAATATCCTGAAAGACATCCCCCAAACAGGTGCCTTATTAGCGCAAGAGACCTCTCTCTCCCTTCAACAAGCCTCCCTCTTCTCAGGGTGACCTCAGTTTGCTGTGGTAATCAGAGGGAGAATCAGAGTCTCCTCTCCAGAATGACTGTCCACCAGCGGTCGTCACAAGAGAAGCCTGCGTCAGCCCCGGCAGCTGTCTCCGCACACAGACCAGCGAATGCCCGTCAGCCTCCTGGGACGAAGGATTTTCTACAAGAAGGAAACCCCAAACGCTCTGGAATTCTCAACAACTTCCAGGCCAGGCCGCGGCGTGCCTGGAACCCTGAGCCGCGGCGATGGTGCCCGTGCAGCTCCACAGCCGGCGGCGACCCGAGGAGAGCGCCCCGACGCAGCCTCCAGGGCGCTAGCGGCCCCCGACAGTCTCCCCACGGGCACAGGGGCGTTACCTTGTGCAGCTGCTTCAGGCCGTCTTCAGTTTTGATACAGGACTGCTCAACATTATAGTCAATTCTATCGAGCACTGTACCCTGAGGAACAAGTAAGCCAGTTACAGGCAATCAACAGCCGCGACTGGGAAGCTGGAGTTCAGAAATGAGAGACGCAAACTGCAGACATGGCCCCCCCGGCCCCCGCGGGGCAGCAGGTGCGCACGGCGAGCCCTGGGACCCGTCCTCAAGCAGAGACACGCGACAGCAGGGACGTCCAGCTCACGAGAAGGAAATCCTGACACATCGTGGCTCCTCCCGTGGACCTGGTCACTGTGGGGTCTGCCTTGTTCAGGCTCACTGTGGCTTCACAGAGCACGTGGCGCGGTGGGAACGTGGTGGCGCAGGCGCAGCGAGGGCCGGGCCCTGTGCCCCTGGCTGTTCAGAACACCACTTTAACCCTCCCGGTCACCAGGAGGCCTGAAGTGGGCGCTCACGTCTCCGAACGTGAACACAGGTCCACGTGGGTCAGACCAGAGAACAGTGAGTTCCAGTCTACCATCTCTAATGAAAAACATGCCCTACAGGAGAATTTTAGTTGTTTAATCTCTTGACTCCAGTAGGAACACTGGGCTGTATGGACGAGCAGGGCTCTTACTGCAACATGCTGGATCAGCAGAGAGAGCAGCAGCCCCGGGAGCGTGGAGTAATTAATGTAACTAGCTCTCCCACAGCCGGCACACTCCCCTGCAGTGGGCCTCACAGAGCCCAGCACCCAAATCCCTGCTGGCAAGATAATAAATGCCCTAATCAGATTTTCACGGTGAATGACAATTTAATTCTACTGGAAAGCTAGTGGTTCCAATCGCCATTACCCAATAACCTGCTAAAATCGGGAGGAGAATCTTATAAATCAGAATTATTGCTGAGCTTGCTCAGAACCAACCAGACCTCCACAGTGAGGGGCTCACAGGAGCACGCTGGGGCGTGGAGGAGAATGTGAGAACCTCGCTCTATTCTTTATCTGAGAGAGACTCGTTAATGTTTTTAAAGGGAACAACAGTAGCGTGTGTGTATGTGTGTGTGTGTGTGTATATATATATAAAATTTGTGTGTATGCACACACACGAGGAAAATAGGTTCTAATTTTTCTCCTCACAGGATCAGAAAATAAATCTGGAGAAGGAGCAGACACGGCAGCAGAAACCCCACGGTGAGAGGTCAACTCACGCACCTGCTCTACAATCATGGCTCCCAGGTCCCTGAAGATTTCATTGAGGTCGGAAATGGACTGCACGATCTGGCGGATCTCTCGCTCCCTCTCCTCCACCATCAGGGTGTTCTGTTCCACCAGCACCAGCTGGTCATCTGTGAAACCCTAGCAAAACACACGCAGAGTGCGCAGGTCAGCTCCCTCTGTCCCCGGGAGAGCAATGGTGTACCAGTCTACACACAATTTAAAGAAAAGGAACCCCAAATATATTTCCAGAAAGCATGGAAACAAGACAAAGCACTCATCTTTCCTTCCCAAGCAGGAAAGATCCAAGTCCCCCAAGCAGCAGGACCTAAACCGCAGCGCTGCAGGGAGAGGCCCGAGCTGCAGCCACGGAGGCTCGGGCCCGGGCCTACCGGGCTCTCCCCACAAGGCGGGGAGCAGACTGCTTTCCTGACAGTCCTGGAAAGCGATCACGGGGCTTCCTTGTGACCTTCGGAAACCGAGAAGTGGGATGGCTGTCCCTGTGCCCGCTGCAGCGACCGCCTGGTGGACACACACGTCAGCCGCGTTGATCTGTGTGCACTGCACACAAGTCGGGGGTCTGGGAAGGGAAGGGCAGAGGACGGAGTGCAAAGGACCAGCAGCCAGCTGTGCAGCCCCTTCACGTACCCGGTCGTAAAGAGTATTATCCTCTCCATCATCCATTAGTGGTACTGATGTATCAAAAAAATGCTGGGATCTTTCCTCTCGATTCTTCATGCCTATCATAGATAGGAATTCACTTTACTGGAATATGTAAACCATCCTGGTTACTGTTCCACCATTAAGAAGGTGAAATCTACAGTAAAACTCAACAAAGTGGAGACAGTCTTAGCGCTTTAAAGAAGCCTCTCTCCAATGGCAGCGCGGAGAGAGCGAGGGACAGAGCAGACGAGAGCATGCAAGCCTTGCAGTCACCGCGAAGGGGCCCGCGGCACGTGACGCCAGCACAACAACGAGACGACACCTGAGACTCTCCAAGTGTGGTGGGGATATTGAATCTAAAAGTTTTCTTACAAAACAGATATCAGCATTTCTCTGGACGCATCTCTAATAAGAATTCCAAATGGCCCTAATCACATTTCAGAAGTAGTAAAATTAAAATACAAACATGCCAACTCTCAGAGGAAGACAGGACCGGTTTTGTTTGTCTTTCAAGTATGTGCGGGGACTTTGATTCCAAGGCAATGACAGACCCAGTTCAGAGGGTGACTGGGACGAGGACACAGCCGGCACGTGCCTCTGCAGTGTTTGAGAAGCAAAGGTAGCGGCGGGGGGGGGGGGGGGGGGAGTTGGTGTGGCGCCGGCAGATGCGTTCAAAACCGCTCCTGGGAAGGCGTTTTAGGCACTTTCAGATACTTCGGTCGTTAGGCAAATATGTGGCTTTAGGTGATAGCTGGTTTCTACCCATTTATGAGTAGCTCTCTCAAATCCCAACATCTAGAAATCAACAGGTTTTTAAATGGACCACGTGTTCAACTTCTTCACGCTGTTTGCTGACACATGAATCACCGCCACACTGTGTGGGAGCTGTGCCTTCACTCCGGGCCTGGGGTGAACGTGCTCCTAGCTAAGAGGGGCTGCTGCAAACCACACCCCCAGGCCCCTTTGGGGCCCCACTTGTGGCGCGGTGCGTTAAGCCACCACCTGCAAAGTCAGCTTCCCATGTAAGCGCTAACTGGAGTTCTGGCCGCTCCGCTTCAGATCCAGCTCCCTGCTAACGCGCCTGGGAAAGCAGCAGAGGATGGCCCAAGTGCTTGGGCCCATCAGCCGCGTGCTAGACCCAGATGGAGCTCCTGGCTCCTGGCTCCAACCTGCCCAGTCCCAGCTGTTGCAGCCATCCGGGGAGTGCACCAGCAGATGAAGGTCTCTCTGTCTTTCCCTCTCTCGGTAACTCAAGACTTTCAAGTGAAATAACCGAATCTCTAAAGAAGCTAATGAGGAAAGGCACAGGGCTAAATGGAGAAACAGTTGCAGAGGAAAAAAAAAGCAGTTATCTTTCCACTGAGACTCACGTTTGAGGTAGCCCGACTGCGCGTGCCGGAAGCTGGTGGACAGCTCCTGCAGGGCCTGCGCCAGGGAGGCCACCACATTCCGAAGCAGCCGCCCCTCCTGCTCGGAGCAGGCCCTGCGGGCCCGGCTGGGCAGGGCCTGCACAGCGCGCTGGCATCTGTGGAAAAGCTGGAGAACAGGCCCCAGGCTCAGGGCAAGCCCGCAGAGGCAGCCCCTCTGCCACCCTGCCCCACTCCCGAGCTGGAAGTGGGAAGGGAGCTGCTCCGTCGTAACTGGGTTTGATTGACGCAGACGGAAGCGAGTCCACCCCCCTTTGTGAGGCATCTGTGTGTCCTGCACTGCACACACAGCACCACCCCCCACTGCAAGCGCATACGCTCTGCCAGGAGGACCCCGTGCTATTTCTGCTCCCCCTCTCGGAGGTGGAGGGGTAAAGGAGAACCACCCCACTGTGACCGGGCCACCCTTCCAGGGCTCCTCCCGCAGTGCCACACCCCTTTCTCCAACCATTAAGCACCCAGGACACTTAAAGACAAATTGTTAACGCCAGTCCTATTAAGCATTAGTCAAATGTAACATTTTATACAAAAATTTTCCAAGATACTAAACTTCCTTCTTAATCACAAGAACTATATTTTAGCATAAATTTTTCTAGTCTATGATAGAAGTCATACACTTTAAAATGAAATGACTGAACTCAGTAATGTCTGAATTTAATTTTTACTTAATTGTTCCACAAAAGTATCCAAGACGGGCCTCAGGCCTCCTCTGAGAACCTGAGGTTGGGACGGGAGCTCCGGGACGGAGCAGCCGGCACAGTGAGCGTGGCAGCACTGTATGGCCCCGCCCCGCCCCGGACTCCCGGCACCCTCACCTGCGTGATCTCCTGTGCGGTGATCTCAATGGCATGCTCCTCTGCGCTGCTGTCGTCCAGGGTGGGCCTGTTTAGGTGCTTGTCGTGAAGGCTGGCTAATTCTTTCATCTTCTGCTTAATCCGGCCAACATCATACTGGATCTAGAGGAACAGTCGCCAGCACAACAGTCGCTCTGAGCCCAGCGGCCACGCTCGGACTAGAGTGTGGTCTCGGCAAACGTACTAACTCACTGACGCGCAAGCAACCTGTAACTCAAGTTACTAGAAAATCAAAAACCACTCTTCCTTGCTGTGCAGTTTCTCCACGTCGTCCTATAATTCAGGTAGTTACTATGGTTAAAACTGAAGTAAAAATCATTCACACACACATGGCTTTTTCTTGCAGTGCGTAAAATGCACAAAGCCCAAAAGCTAAAGCATTTCTAGGGAGAAGCATGCAAGCAAGTGCAGCTAAATTAATTTTACAGTGGATATCTTAAAATGCTATCATGATTACTAGACATCTTAAAATGTTTTCATCATTATGAGATTATCTATGTTGTCCTGACCATTAGAGTTCTTAAAACATGTTGTCACAATTGAGACACCTTAAAACGTTGTCCTAGTGGTCAGATATCAGATATCATTAAGTACATCGTTCCAATAACTTATATATGAGACAGCATGAAACTAACATTCAACTTACTTCATCCACGCTGTCCACCCATTTAGGAGGGGACCGTTTTGTCACGCCAATGGCTGCTTCCGGATCTAAGCTAATGCCTGACACCAGTGCCATACGGTCATCAGCAAGCTACAGAGACACAAAGGGACATTTAAGAAGATACTTGAATCCAGTGTAGATCAGCAAGTTCTTAGTTGCTTTAAACGTTGCTCCCTAAAAGACACAGAAATGGAGGAGCTAATGCACCTGCTGGGTTAGAAACCTGCTCAGACACTGCTAGCATCTGGGACTCTTTCCTAGCTTTTCATGCGCCAGTTCTTAATTTCCTTGGACATACTTGTGAGCATGAATTTGACTTGATCTGGCTATAGACATGTAATAAAAAGTCAACAAACGAGCCTTCAGATAAAGACCTCTTAGCACTAGTCTCCACAGCTAACGTCATCAGAAACAGGTTAAAAAGAAAAGGCACCAGGCTATCAACAGAACCAATACAAAATGTTTAATAGCAGTAAGCTTTATTAACACACACTTAGCGTATTTTAGAAATAGTGCTGGTCCAGTTATCTTAGTCTCAATATCATTAACCAGGAGTTAAAACCTGTGTTTCCAAACTACCTAAAGTGGTCAGTGAAATTATGCACCGTTTGGTAAAGGCGACCCTTAGACCCCCACGCAGCTTGACTGGCACTTCCCACGGGCAACATCCCCTGACTCGGACAGGGCATCCGCAGCGCGTGTTTATGCTACCCGTACAATACACTGCCTCAGACAGCTTTTAAGAACGGGAAGGCAGTCATGGGTCCAGCATGGTTAAGCTGTTTTCCTGCCCGGAGGCAATAACCCGGGTTGAAAAGATTTAAGGTGCCCCCCCGAGCTGAGAATTTTTAAATGGCAGTTTCAAAAGATCCAAACAATGATCAAGAGAACACGAACAGCCCGCACAAGCCCTCTACAGATGCTGAGTCACGCAGCGGAGAACAGCCCGCACAAGCCCTCTACAGATGCTGAGTCACGCAGCCGGAGAACAGCCCGCACAAGCCCTCTACAGATGCTGAGTCACGCAGCGGAGAACAGCCCGCACAAGCCCTCTACAGATGCTGAGTCACGCAGCGGAGAACAGCCCGCACAAGCCCTCTACAGCTGCTGAGTCACGCAGCGGAGAACAGCCCGCACAAGCCCTCTACAGCTGCTGAGTCACGCAGCGGAGAACAGCCCGCACAAGCCCTCTACAGCTGCTGAGTCACGCAGCGAACAGCCCGCACAAGCCCTCTACAGCTGCTGAGTCACGCAGCGGAGAACAGCCCGCACAAGCCCTCTACAGCTGCTGAGTCACGCAGCGGAGAACAGCCCGCACAAGCCCTCTACAGATGCTGAGTCACGCAGCGGAGAACAGCCCGCACAAGCCCTCTACAGATGCTGAGTCACGCAGCGGAGAACAGCCCGCACAAGCCCTCTACAGATGCTGAGTCACGCAGCGGAAAACAGCCCGCACAAGCCCTCTACAGATGCTGAGTCACGCAGCGGAGTTGGGTGCAGAACTTTGTTTGCTTTTCTTGCTCCTTCCCTGCATTTATTTAAATTTCTCCCCTCATTCGTTCAGTAAACACTTGCTTGCTTTTCTAATAATAAAGGAACAAGACAAATTAAAAAATCCACAGAGGAAAGGAGGGAAAAACCACGGGAGGGAAGATCCAGATTCAAGGAACTGAAGTAACAGCTCTAAATCCCACAGAGATCACAGCAAAATTCCTAAAAGCAAATCGGTGTCTTCACCGACCCCCCAGCGTGGTTCTCCTGCACCGGGCTTGGGGCACTCCCTGGGCTCAGGCAGCACGACTCCCAGGACAGCCGTGGGGCAGGACAGGCCCCACACCGCCTCCAGGGCGTCTGGGAGCCATGATTAAGTCCACCTGCGTCAAGCGCCCTCCTGGCCCTGCAGGCCTGTGTCATTTCCGGTCTCACACAAATGGTGTGTCATCCGACCGCGCACGGTCTGCGGCTCCAAGCCCCTCAAGTGGCGATGCTGCACCCCACCACCTTTCGTCTGCTTCCAGAGGACTTGTACATTCTTTTTATTATTTTAATCCTCACAAAAACTAGGTGAGCTAGGGACTATTACTGCAATCTATAAATACGGAAATTGAAACTCAGAAGAGTAAAGTGGCTTGCCCAAAGCCACGGAGCCATCACCAATCAGATTAAAACCTGGGTGGGCTGACTGTGGAGGCCCCTTTCCCTGGTGAGCTGCCGATCACCGGGGCAGACCCGTGAGACAGGACTGCAATTTGCTAAGAAAATGAATCAGGACAAGCAGCCATCAGATGAAAATAACAGCAGCAAAACAGGGCTTTGATTCACTCCCCACCAATGGCACCAGCGACAACATAGGAGACCTCATAGGAGCACATAGCAACAGTAAAGCCGTCTCCCTTAGGGACCACAGGGAGAGCCAGTGTATGCACCCTGCACCCCACAGAGCACGCAGAGGGTATCTGCCCCCACCCACACAGTCTGCTCCTCGACAGCCCTACCCCAGTACCCTGCACCCCACAGAGCAGGCAGAGGGTATCTGCCACCACCCACACAGTCTGCTCCTCGACAGCCCTACCCCAGTCACCAGAAGGCACACAACTTTGTGGGGGAGGCTAAGGCAGGGGGATGCCCCTCACCCGCTACCCGCTCCCACCACCCAGCTGGAAGTCCAACCAACAGGTGCTGGGCAGAGGCTTGGACTCACAACCCCAGCTGCTTCGCTAACGAGCGCTAACACTGCTAAGGCACCTCTTTGTGTGTCGGAAAAATTTCACTGTCAGTTTATTGTCTAATCTGCCATATTTTATTATTACACCCTATTTTATTGAGTAATAATGATTTGTTTTCTCTACAGCAATTTTATGTTTCTAAACTCATGTGCAAAATAACTTGTACTGTTCTTACTATTTACAAATACACATAAGAAAGATTCACCAGAGATGGTATCTCCCTATCTAAATTTATCTGTGTTGTCATTAGCATACTTTTGTTTGATAAACCACATTTGAAAAGTCAGTTGAAATGGAAGCTACTCTTTTTAAACAGTACTTGATTTCACACAATAGATGTCGTCCCAAAAAATGTGACGTAAGTCAAAACTGGAACAAACGTACCCTTTAAGGGTACCGAGGAAGCTTGCTAATTGAGAGAGGCCAGCCTGCTCAGCTGTTGCTACCTTTCCCACACACCAGACCTGGATCTCACCTAAGAGGGACAGCTGTCTTCGGGACCGAGACTACAGGGTGAGTAGCAGCCATAGCTGGCTCCTCTGATAAAGAGCCGCTGCCCTTCTGAGAAGGAACGTGTCCCCTCTTCCAGGGCACGGCTCTGCGGTGTGACCAGTGCACACCATGAACTGTGCCCACGCACTGGCAGCGTGTATCACGGTGTGTACTGTGACCTTTACTGCGTGAATCTGTAATGCGACTGTCATATGGGTTTACAACATGCATCACAGCACGTACCATGAATTTTCTCCCATGGATTTATGATGGCACCATGGCATGCATGGAACTGTAATGTTGTGGTGTGTACTGTGGATTTTATCACATGGATCTGTGATGTTATCATGGTACTATCACAGCATGGATTTGCAGCGTATATCACAATATGTACTATGAAAAAGAAGACAGTTTTGGGAAAACATAACTGAAGATAAATACCAACAATCTGAAATGGGAACAGATAGGAACATGCACATACAGGCCAGTGCACGCGACCACCTGCCCCACCTCAGAGCTTCGCGCCTGTGACCGGCTGCCCTGCGTCCTGAGGGCCCCTGTGTGCAGCAGCTCCCGAGCTGCCCCCCCCCCCCCGCCCCATGCAGATAAACTGAAGGCTCCTGAATCTTTCTGCGCATTCTCACCTAATTTCAACTTTTGTTAAAGAAATTTGTGCTCTGAAGCTCCTTATCTCTGATCCCCAGTTCTGCCCCAGAGGAACTACCTGGATGCCCTCCCTAACACGATGCAGACAAGCCCATGGATGCGACTGCAGGCACGCCCACGGCCTTGTCCACAGTCTCACTGAAGTCCGCTTTTGCCCTTGATCCACTTTAGGCATCGACATTTGTCCTTTACAGAGCACCACACAGTACGGACAAGTTCTTGATCTATGAAAGGAATCAACATATACACACACGCTCATAAAGCTCACCGTGCCAAACACACAGCCTCCCCACTCAGAAAACTCTGTCTTGGGACATTATGGTGTAGCAGGTAGAGTCACCCCTGTGATGCATACGGGCCTTGGTTTGTGTCCTGGCTGCTCCACTTCTGCTCCTTGCTAATGGTCTGGGAAAAGCAGTGGAAGACGGCCCAAGTGCTTGGGAACCTACCACCCACGTGGGAGACCCAGATGAAGCCCTGGTTCCTGGCTTCTGTCTGGCCCAGTACTGGCCATTGTGGCCATCTGGGGAGTAAATCAGTAGATGGAAGCTCGCTTGCTCGCTCTGTGTGTGTGTGTGTATGTGTGTCTCTGAAGTTCTGACTTTCAGATAAATAAATAAATCTTAAAAAAAAAAAAACAACCAACAAACTCTGATTTAGTGTTCTGTACAACTAAGGAAAGAGCAAACCTGTGGGCAGACTGGAAAAGTTAGGCATACCTCCTCCCCATACCATCCCCACCCCCACATGCCCCCAAACAGCTATACGCAGCTGCAGTGCACAGGGAGTGAGAACACCAGCGATTCCAGGAGGGACCTGACATTACAGCCTGGCGACGCCCACTTACAGGGGGACCTGTAGGATGGATCGGACCACACACAGCACACGGGTACAAAAGGCTCAAAGACTGTGCTAACAACCAGGCTTAAGGAATCGCGGGGTTCTTGGAAGAGTGACTAAGTGTGTGGGTACCAGGCAGTTGGCGATGTTAACACCACATTGTTTTAACCCGTGATAATTTAAAATAATGTTTACCTCTCCTGGTGATTATATGTTCAAAAGCACTTTCCAACTGTACAAAAACACAGAAATAAAAAAAATGAGAAGCACACTACTCTGGTGGAAGTGCTGCTAGTTTACTGCTCTTCCTTTGTCTCCACGCAGACCCCTAGGAAACACAGGCGCAGACCCTGCCCTGTAACCTGCACTGAGCACCTCAGCAGCTCCACCTCCCGCGGCACCGACAGCCGCGCACAGAGGAAGGCTGCTCCTTGTGTCACCCTCGGACAGGCGGTGCTCGGTGGGCTGTGTCCCAGCCCAGCCTGGCTCTCCCGACAGTGTCTAGGGACCTGACACTGACATCTTGTAATGTTTTAGCAGTTCCTATCTGAATGGAAAAGAAACAACTTAGGAGCTTGCCTGGCCACAGGAGGGGAAGTAGAGAGACCACAGGGCAGGGCCCAGAGGGGTCGCTGGCCAGACAGGGAATGAATGGTGGACAGCTTCCCCCAGGGACACCTGCTGAGACGGACAGGGAGTGGCATCTCCAGGGTACTCAGGTCTGACTGGGCAGGAAGCCTGGAGGTGAGCAGAAGCAGCCACCAGCCGGGGAGGCTCCAGCGCGGGGGCAGTCGGGGTGCCTGCTCCCACACAACCCCTCCGGGGGCTGGGAGGCCTTCACTGCTCCCAGCAATAGCAGTGTGAAGCCCTGGACGCCCATGCCTCCTGCACCGCAGCCCCTAGCCCAGCACCTGGCTCTCCCCAGTAATGAACACAGGATTATGAGCTGAGTGAGCCCACTGTGGACGGGCGGATGGATGAGGTTAACAGCGTCCACGTCAGGTACAATTCTGGAAGGCACTTCATGAAAAACACAATGGTGCCAGACAAGCGAGACCGGGGCGAGTGAGGCTCGTGTGCAGGACAGGGGCGCCCCACCCAGGTCTCCGGCCACAGGACGTGAGGGGAGGGCGCGAGGTGTCAGATAAGCGAGCTCAGCCAGCGCGTCCCGCCCTGGAACCTGCTGCCTGGAGACTCGGGGAAGGCCCGGAAGCGGGCCCGGCCGGCAGACCCCTGGTAACTCAGACCCTCACACACCTCGCCAGCCTCGTTCAACCCGAGTGACCTCAACGGCTTGCTCTTTGCCCCGACCCCGTCTCCTTTAGGTGGGTATAAGTAAGTATGGAGCGGCATCTGCTCCAACCTCCAGGCTGTCCCAAGACCTCCTGCCCCCAGGCCCCCAGCGCTGCCGTGGAGAGTGGTCAGCAACTCCGCCCAAGTGTGCGAGCAGACGTGACCTCATCCCTTCAGGGCCCAGCCGGGGCTGTCGGGGAGGTTCCTGAACGGGTCAGGAAGCCCTAACCAGGAGTGGCCATCACACCCAACTCCACGAGCTGGCAGCTAAGGGTCCGCTCTTCAATACACGCTGTTTCTAACTGACAAAAGTAAACACACGTCATTCTTCAAAAGGGGTGTGTGTGTGCCTGTGTGTCTGTGTGTATGTGCCTGTGTGTGCATGTGCCTGTGTATGTGCGCCTGTGTGTGTGCGCCTGTGTGTGCGTGTGCCTGTGTGCGTGTGTGTGCCTGTGTGCGTGCATGTGTGTGTGTGTGCCTGTGTGTGTACCTGCGTGTGTGTGCCTGTGTGTGCATGTGCCTGTGTGTGTGTGTACAAGAAAAGGCCTGTGATGGGAAGAAGTCCCCTCCACTCCACGCTCTTCTCCACAGGGATCACTGTTAAGTTTCTTGTGTATCTTTTCAGAATTTTTCAACACACAAAAAAGCACAAATGTGAGTTATTTGCCTTAAAAAAAAGAATGGAATTATATTATCCATGAGGGAACTTCAAAAAGTTTGTGGGAAAATGTAATCAAAAGATTTTACTGTGGTGCAGAAAAAAACCTGAAATCCATGCATAGTTTCTTTTCATATGCATGGATTCCAAAAAAAAATTTGTACCAAAATTAAAATAACTTTTAATTTTATTTGCATGGCCCTTTTGAAATCCCACTGCCTCCCCACGGCCCACGTGTCCGGAAGCTTGCGCTGTGCAGTCTTTACAGCCAGGGACTGAGCTGTTATATTTGAGATTTAATCAATTCCCAATATCTATTATCAACTAGTTCAGGTTTGCAAGATTTATAGAGCGATCTCAGGCTACTAGCCAGGACACCACTCATTTTGAACGTGGTGGTCCTAATTTCATCTTCTGGACATACTCCCTATTTGGGGAAATTTTACACCAAAAAAGCAAAGACAGACACCTCATCCTAAGCACTCTTTTGAAGGCCTGCCCTCGGGAAAACCAGTCTTCCGTCTGCATCGCTGAAGCAGCCAGGCACACAAACGCTGACAGCAGCACAGGCTCCTGTCCCCTCCACCCGTGACGCAGCTCCACGTCCACAGACAGAGAAGCCCAGAAGCAGGCTGCCAGGGCGCGCACGAGGGCCTCACTGCCGCCAGCGGCTGCGTCCACAGCGCCGGGCTTCAGCCCCTGTACAGACACAGCCTTATTCCACCTGGTTTACGTCAAGAAAGCAGTCGCCCTGCGCTGCTCCTCAGTGAGGCAGAGAACACTCCCACGTCGCTTTCCAAACCATCAGTCCACACGGTGTGAAAACCCACTAAACAAGGCCAGCATCCCACTGTTAAACACGATTATGTCGTAACCAAAACAAGTACTAAAACTAAGTTCTGTTCGCATTTCATGGGTATGTGACCAGCAGCTTCAGGAAAAACAGCATTTTATAAACTAAAATCACCTAACATATAAAAATCTTCAAAACACAATACCTCATCCAGCTCCTGCAGGGGTGTGTCGTCCACCAGTCCCATCCAGTCAGGGATAGCAAAAGAGACGCATGGGGACAGACAGACAGACAAGACAGGGTCAGTTGAGAAAACACAGATTTTAGATAACTCTAAGTTCACTAGATATTAAGTTGCACTAACCAAGGCATTTAAAAATGTCCCTTTCTGATTCTTCCTTTTTTTAAAAAAACTACATCAATATGTTCTTATTTTTATTTACTGTGGTTATTGTTTTGGTAAATGAGATAGGAAACAACCCATAAACAGTAGTAAAATTAAGACACACTGGAAACAAAACACACTTAAATATACTAAATCTATTTCACTATATATTTCAGTTTATATATTTCACTAAAATATACTTAATTACTTGTTTCACAAATATCAAATAGCATACACAATAACACATTCTAAATGTCCCTTAGGAAAATGAAATAAGAGAGCAAAGCTAAAATGTAATTTTACCATGTCAAATAAATGCATATTTTAGCACGTAAACAAGCCCTGCGAGTGCCTCAAAATTTAAAAACGAACCAGCTACAAATCCTGCCTATGGCTGTATTCAGATAATATTTGAGTGACCACAGTATGTAAGGCTGCTACACATTAAACGCGGCACACACGGCTTCATCCTATCTGTGGTAACAGGAGAACAGCAGAGCCGGGAAACCACTCTTTCCGGGAGAGAGACACAGGTGGTAAAATAGAGGAAAAATCCCGACCATGTGCTTGGCATGTATTCTCACTCTGGAGAGCACACAGCTATTCATAAAGCTACTGTGAAAGCAAGCACACACACGGAACAAAGGTAAGGGGAGATTGTTTTTTTTAATGGGAGAGTGGGAAAGGGCACCAGAGAGTTAAGTTCCGATTTAAAAACCAAAGATTCTTTTTCAGATCCACACAAATCTTCTGAACATTTACTAATGACAGATAATCTAAACAACTAAGTCCTTTTTTTACAGTATTGATCAGTGAAATAATTAGTGGCGAATTTCAGTAATCAACCGTGTTGATTTTTTAACGTTTAGCAGTAAATTTAGAAAACAGAAAAATAACTTATTTAAAAATTAATAGAGCAAAATGCAGCTAGTCTATCAGTGCCAAAGCGTTGTTAGACAAGGAGAGCAGCAGCAGACGCGATCAGACAGCGCTCTCCCCGGACAGTCCAGCAGGTAACGTGGCAGAGAGGGAGAGCGGGAGGCCCTCCTCACTCCCAGCACGCGCGTGGAGCGAGCGGCTGCATTCACACACGCCCGTGACCGTAGCACTGCGAGATGAATGGAGACCATGGTGTCCAGTGGAAATCTAAACACCTTCTACTTTAAAAGAAAACATGCTTTTCTTTTTCAAAAGGTTAACATTTCCAGCAATGGGGCACTAAAATCTGTAATTAGTAAAACAAGACACGAGGCAAACCCCTAACTTCGTCTGCCTCTTCTCACGCTCCTTGGCACTGAGTCTAAACAAAGTGACGACAAGCCGCGGTCGGCAGCCCGGCCTGCGCGGGTCCTGTCTTCCAGGCCTTCCAGGCACACACACCCTGCTCTTTAGATTTGCACGGCTGGTTATCAGCTGAGAAGAGGTAAAAACCGGAATCAGAGATCCTAGGACCTGAAACAACTGCTCTTACAAATAAGAAAATAATAAATAAAAGAAAATAAATAAAAGAAAACTAAGGCTTCAAAACGTGTCAATGCATGCTGCCTGCAGTCCCAGCGACGCGCCTGGGGAGGACGGGAAGACCCAGGCGCAGGCCCCCTGCCTCACCCCGCTTCCCTAACTTCACGCACAGCTCAGGGACTCCTCGTGACAGGCAGCCGCTACCACACCACATCAGGAATTAATTCAAAGGTCATCTTTTCAAAGAAACCCCCCTCCCAACTTTGCTACTTAAAAATATAAAATTTTCAAAATTCCCTTGCTACCAAATGACCAGGAAATTTAGTCAAGACTTGAATTAAAATATTTGGAATTATCATCAGGAAAGACCAAAGCACAGCCAAATGAAAACACGTTGCTACACATCATCACCCTCTAAATCTTTATCATGTCTAAATCTAGGCTTCTGACCTGCCCACGGCACGCACCCAAGCAAACACTGAAAACCCCAAGGAGCACGTGGGACTCACAGTCCACAGAACTTTCTGCATAAGACTGAAGAAGTAAGTGGAAACCCATCTGTGTTTACTCAGGAAGTCTGGAGAGGCCGTGCAGGATGAGCTGGAAACTCAGGCCCTCGCTATAGTGGTATTTACTTTATTCCCCTCACTGCCAAAATAAAAGTCTGCTTCATTTTTGTCCAACAAAGTACCCTTCTTCTCAAGCAAGCCTCACTGCGCAAACGGAATCTGTAAAAGCAGAAAAGCAAATAGATCTAAAGAGAAATATACAATGATTTCATACTTGGATTCTAAAGAGAGGACTAATTTTCCAACCAACTCAGCCTAGGCTAAAACGCAGACCCTTCAAGGCACAAGGTAAGGCAGACTATGTATGTCACGAGGAGAGATAAGGAAGGACGGAAGCCCGCTGCAGGGGCAGAATGTCTGTCAACGACAGGGCCGTCCATCTCCCAGCACTGGTGCGGGCCCGGAGGGGAGCTCCAGGCGCAGGCCCTGGCCGTTAGGTGGGGGATCCTGGAGCAGCCCCTGACTCCTCTCCAGCTGGCTTCCTTATCTGTGTCACGAGGAAAACAGCCACCAGCTCCTGGCCTGGCCCTGTCAGGACCCCACGGGGGCACACCCCATGCCAGACACGGGCAAGCTCTCAATGAATCTCAGCTAGTACTGCAGTGCAGACTAAAGAAAGTAGAGCTAACTCCCGGTTTATTTTTCCCCCAAAGTTCACATTTTTATTTAAAAATGATGTGCTGGCTTCAAACTAATCCAAGAGCCGTTAGCTGTGGCTCCCAGGTGGCGATGACGCTGTATTTTAAAGCAGAGTGTAGACCGGGCGGTAGACACCGGCCACGCAGCTCCACTCGGGAGCAAGGGAAGCAAAGTCGTCACAGGGCATCTGGATCAGAGCAGCAACTCAACTTCATTCCTCAAGACGCCATCACCCCACCTCCGCTGCCCCTGGGATGGCCTGGCTGCTGGAGTCACTTCAGCCTCGGGAGGGACCCCCCTCCGGGTTCCTATTTGCAAATCAAAGCCCAGGCCCTGTGCTTCGGTCAGGAACTTAGAAAGCACTGCTGAACTGACAGGGCCCCTAGACATTACCGAAGAGATCCGCAGCTCCCTACAGGCAGCCCGCGTGGGAGTGGCCCCCAGTCCCAGGCTTGCACCCCAAAGTCTTTCCTGCAGCAACAGAGGGAAGGGGCATCCAAAACTGAGGCCAACCCCCAACGACCTGCACTTTGCCGAGTCCAACATCAAACTCATGTCTTTGAAAGCAACAACAACAACAACACCACCAAAGCTAACATTAACACAAACAAGTAAGCAGCATTGTGGCCAGTTCTAGCTGTTAAACTTTAAAAAGAATTAAACCTCATTCATAGGAAAGAGGTCACACGGAGCTGGGGGCAGGGCAGCCGGGCAGGGCAGCAGCGGCTTCCTGTGTGGGAGGTCCTGGGGCAGAACCAGGAGCACAGCCGCGCCAGGGGGACACCGCTGGGACAGACACAGGGACAGTGCGGTGGCTGCTGCTGCTGGCGCTTCCTCTTCTTGGCCCCGACCCTGGGAGAGGGCAGGTGTGCGGGCTCCTCAAAGTGGGGCCAAGTGACCGCTGGGTCCCTCGGGCCGGGGCTGCCTGCACTTCCGCTGGCTGTCCTTGAATGTGTTTACTTCTGACACACTGGCCGGAGCGACACACTAACCCTCATCACTAAAGCCAATTTCAAGTTTTTTCCTCAAACAAGAAAAAGATACGGGCCTTCATTTTTTGAATGGCAATGGCTGTAGGGCTGTTTTGTGCCGAGATGTTTGATGGACACACACGCCACTTTTCAGCCAATTCTTGCAGTGTTTTCCTCAAATAAGGATGTGAAATTTCAGAAATTTTCCAATTATTTTAGGTGTGATTTCTTTTTAGCTGTGTCTAGCAAATACACGAAAATCAACTTTCTACAGCTTTTTCTTCTAATTGGAAATTTAAAATTTCAAGTTATGAGTTTTAAAATTAATTTAAATTCTCAAGTTTAGTTACTGCCTTGTTAATTACCTAAGTTAGCATGGATGTTTACAAATTGTGCTGTTTTACTTTACTTTGACAAAATATAAATTTTTATAATTTTCCAAACACACAGAAAAAGTACGTAAAATGATATAATGTCCTAGCGATAGTTGTCACTAGGCTTAAGAATTACTAGTATCTTGCTTCATTTGCTTCTTTCACTGGAGGGGGGTTAAGTACTTAAATAGGAAACAGATTTCTTGATACTACACCACCAAGCCCTTCAGTGCCATCGCTAGGAAGACCCACACGTGTAATCAACTGCGGTTGGTCTGACTGCTGCATTACCACCTAAAGGCCGCTCTAATTCACACTCGAGGTGTGACTTCTGTGTGACCTGCCGCAGGATGAACCTCGGGAGTGCGGCGGGGCCTTCTGGGAGCCACTCAGCCAACGTTCCACAGCCGCGACGCGTGCACCTGCCGGCTCCGGGAGAGCGGAGCGGCCAGGCCCTGCCCTCTGCCCCAGTGCTCCGGCCTCTCGCGGTGATTTGGTGATTTTTCATCTTCCTGCTGCGGGTGCACAGGCAGAAGGGCTTCTGCAGGAAGCCGCCCGCAGGCTCCCCGGGCGCTCCGGGGTCTGGGGATGCGGTGCCTCGGCACGCACAATTAAAATATTAAAACACGTAAATGCGCCCGCTAACTTAACTTCTAAAAACCAGGCACACTGACGCTGCGGGCGGCAGACCGCCTTTTGAAACCGGGTTATTCTCGGCGATCCGACGGCTCTGATCATCTAGGAAGGCTCGCAACACACTGAGGGCCACGGGGCGCGCCCCCAGCGGCGGAGCGGCCCACCCTCCAAGTCTTCAGGAACCCACGCGAGCTCGGGCCGTGCTCCCGATGCAGCGTTCCCGGCCGTGCACGCGGCTGCGCGGAGTCCGACCCGCTCTACTGGGTTGTGCAGACACGCAGTTTAAATATGCGCCCACGCAATCCCTTCCAACAAGCATCTGACTCGCGGCGCGGCCCGGGCGCACCGTCTACACCGCGCCTCGGCTCTGAATCCGCGGGCTCCGGGGCCTCGCCGAAGCCCACGGCGCGTGTTCCTCACGCGGCCTCCACGCCTCGGCCCGGGCTCGCGCGGGAGGTGCGGACGCAGCGCCGCGGCGGGCCTCCTTCCGACGTGCGGGGAGACACGCGAGGCCTCCGGCCGCGCACCGCGAGCCCTGGGGAGGGGGCGACCCGCACAAAGCCCGGCAGCGCCGAGGAACCGCGGGCCTTGAGGGCAGGGCCGTCTCCTCGCAGCCGCACGCCCACGCCCACGGCCTTCCCGAGGGGGAGCCCCGTCCGCGCCCCTCCCCACGCCCCGCGGGCCTCCCGCAGGCCCGGCCGTCGGCGGGGGCGGGGCCCGGCGAAGGCGACGCCCCCTGGCCGGGCCGGGGCCGCTCGCGACTGGTCGGCGCGGCTGACAGACAGAGAGACAGACAGAGACAGACAGGCGGGCGGGCGGGGCGCGGGGGCGCGCGGCGCGCGTGCCCGGGAGACTCACCGCAGCAATGCTACGTGAATGCAGAGGGCTGGAGGTGGTGTGACTACTCACTTGCTCGGCTAACAGCTGCCGGTTTTGGATGGAATTATTCCGCAACAACAAGAAAGCGTCGGTTAAACGCCTGGTGGCCATGGCTCACCCTGTGTGACCCCGCTCAGGGCCCCCCGCCCGCCTCCAGGCCCGGCCCAGCCGGCCCGCCCTCGCGCCAGCGGCCTCCCTGGGCCAGGCCGCAGGCCTCCAGCCGACGAGGCGCGAAGACCCCTCCCCAGATAACCGCCTAGGCTTGCCAATTGTCTGACTCCCCCTACCCAAGACCTGGCTTCGATCTCCAAGCACTTGAATCCCCCCAATCCTCGCCTGGCCAGCCGCCGTCCCTGAGACCCCCACCCCAATCCAACCCTGGATCTACAAGCGCATAACTCGCCAATCCGGCTCGGGACTGGCAGCACCTGAAGCCCCCTGCCTCCCTCGACTCCCTGAGACCCCGAGACCCCCAACGGCCTTTGACCCCCGGGCTGCCCCTGGCCGCGCGCTCCGGCGTCTAGGCCGCGCCCCGGGGCCGGGCCCTGCCTCGCTGTCCCCGCCAGAGGCCCGGCCTCGGCCCTCCTTGGCCAACCCCAGCCCTCGGCTACACAGCGCCTGCAGCTCCCTTCTCGGCCTGCGCTGAGCCTGCTGCGGCTCGGCGACCTCCTGACCCCTCTCCTTCCTGCGCGGCCTGCTCCCCCGCCGCCAGCAGGCCGCTGGCCTCCAGGAGGACAGCAGGGCCACCCTCCCCGGCCTCCTCACTCCTCTCCTCCAGCTCCCTCCATCCCCGGATCTGACTGCGAGCTCAGCCCCGGGCCGCTTCCGTGCCGTGGTCCCGGGCTCTGGCGTCCCCCCTGGCCCTCTTCCTGTCCGTCCCTCGCGAGTGCCCCCCTGCGACGCTCGCAAGCCTTGCTCGCAACGTTCCGGGCGCGGGAGCTCCCTGCCCACACCCGGGCGCGGGCGCGGGCGCGCTCCGCCCTCTCCCGGGGCATGGCCGGGGCACCCCGTTTTCCCGGCCCCCGCGGGGCTCAGGCACTGGGAGCGGGCCCGGGGGGCAGCGCTCAGCCCGGGGCGCGTGGCCCCCGAGCTGCAGGCCGCTGCCCAGGGCCGTGGCCCCGCAATGGCGAGTGCCAAGTTCCTGGGCAGGCGAACTTGGGCACCAGCAGAGCACAGCCGCGCGGCGCGGCGGGGGCGGGGGCGGCGAGAGGTCCCGGCATGAGCAGCCGGAGCACGCTTAATGGGAGACGGCGACTTGCGATCGCGCTGTTATTTAAGAGAAGCCTTTATTTTTCAAACTCTGAAAAAGAAAAAAAAAAAAAAAAAAAGATGTATCTGAAAAAACAACCAGGAGAGGGGGGAAAAAAAAAAGGAAAAAATTGTGAAGCGGGAGCTCCGGGCGTCCAGGTCGCCCGGGCGGCGCCGCCAGCGGCAGGCGGGGGTCGCGGGGGTCGCCCGCGCTCCCCAGCCGCCGCTCTCCGCAGGGGCCACTGCGGGGCTGTGGACTCCCCAGGGGGAGAGTCACCCGAAAACTCTGTCACCCACCGCCCCGAACACCGCCGTGTGCGCTGAGCGGGCCCCGGCCCCGCGCCCCGCGCCCCGCGCCCTCGGCCCGGGGTCCCGCGTTCTGGGGCCCGCGGGGCTCCCGGGGCTGCGGGCTGGCGTCGCCAGGGGGGTCCACACCCGAGCCTCGCCGCGCCGGGTGCCCTCGTGCCCCGCGTGGACCGCGCCTGGCGCACACGTGTCCGTTCCCTGGGCTCACGCAGGGGGCGCCCCGGACCCCACCCACGTGCGTTTCCTCGGCAGGGGAAAGCGCCCCGCAGGCTCTCGAAGCAGAGCGAAAAGGGTTTCTGACTGCACAATGCGGGAACGAGGGAGCTGAGCGCGCCGGCGAGCCGGGCAGGGCGAGCTCCGAGCGCGGGAGCCGGCCACGTGCGCCCTGGCAGGACGCCGCCACCCGAGCAGCCGCGGCTGCGGGGCTGGGGGTTGCCGGGCACGGGACAGCGTCCCCGGAGGCAGAGCAGGCAATTCGGGGAGCCCCGGGCGTGGCGCAAGCGCTGCGCGAAGTATGTGTGGTTCCCCAGGCCGAGGCGCAGCGGTCAGCCGGTGAGCTGGGGCTGGGGCCCACCTCCCCCGTCCAGGGGGCCCCGGCCTCCTGGCCTCAGCCTGGCCCAGCCTGGGCTTTGGGAGGGGAGTGCACCAACAGATGCAAGAGCTGTCTGTCTCCATCTCTCTGCCTTTCAAATAAAATGAGACAGGATAGTTTAAAAGGTTTTAAGGAGCTGAGGCTGGTGGAGAGCCCTGGCGAGAGGCCGGCTCACCACACCCGGGGGGCCATGTTCACTCCCAGGCCAGGGCCGCGTCGCCTTCCCGCACCGGCCTGCTTTATTCGTCTCTCTGTGTGTGTAGCCATCTCTTCTGGCTCGGGAGAGTGTCCGGATATGTGCATGAGAGAATGGGGGGCCTGAGGTCTGCTGCCCCCCTCTCTGACCTCCCTCCCACGACCGCGAGCCCTTAGTCTTTGTCTGTCAGGACAGGAGAAAAAGAAAGCTAGGTTTTCATAATCCTCGCAATCTGTGGCCCGCCTGCCTCTCCAGGATCAAACAAGACAAGTGAGACCTGTCCGGGGCTGAGCAGACCCCCGGGGTGGTCGCTCACTCCCCCACTCCCTTTGGGAACCGTCACCAAGGACCGCCTGGCCTTGGGGTCCCGCGGATGGCGGTCACCTTCCCTGCTTAGCCTTGAATCTTCTCTGCAGGGCCACCTTCTTCCTCACTCTTACTCTTAGAAAATCAATCAAGGTTCTGCAAGCAGACAGAACAGCGCATGCACACGTACATCGTGTCAGGAAAATTCTCGTAATCCCCAGCAGCCCTAGCGCCACAGCCCGGAGCGGGGCTGATGGCAGCGCAGCCCCAAGGCAGCGCTGTGCGGGCACAGCGTTAAGCGAAAAGAAGGGCGCCAGAGAACGCGTGGACGCTGGCGCCGGTCACGTCCACGTGCGCCCTGGCCCACACTGGGAGTGCGTAAATCATTGAATCTGAACGTTCCTTGGCTGTTTTATTTTCCTGTCAAATGGCTTAAGCCTGAATTTTTTTCTGTCTTTCTTTTCTTTTTTAAAAAAAGCATTCCCTCATGGCCAAGTACGTGTTTCCTTGTAACTGAAATCTAGGTTGATGGTTTTACATTTTAAAAGCTTTCTCGGTGACTCACTCTTGGCCTGGGATTCGATTCTGCAATGCTCCCAAGCCTAAAGAGTCTCCGTGTCCTGTTTCCCAGGCTTTGTACCCACTTTCTAGCTTTTAGCCAGTGGATCCGAGAAGTCACTTCTGGGGGACAGGTGTTGCAGTGTCGTCTTGATCGCTGTGGGAGGGGCAGAGAAGGGTGGGCAGCAGGAGGCTTGTGGCCCGTGACGAGGACCCGTGATGAGGATGTGTAAATGCGGCAGGGGGCACGGCCTGAGTCGTGGGTAACAGGACGGAGCACAGCTTGTCTCGCCGTGGGACAGCCCGCACGGGACCTGCCGCCCCTGGGAAGGCGTGGCTGTGGCACTGAGCCCTGTCCAAATGGAGGCTTCCGTTCCCTGGCCTGGGAGTCCCCGCAGTCCCAGGAAGTGGGGCTCAGGCAGCAGTAGATGGACTACTTTCCACGTTGGCCTTTCTAGTGTTTGCCGCCCTCCCACCGAGATGAGTGGCAGAAGCCCCCAAGCCCGATAAATGCCTCGTTTGCACTGTTGGCCAGGACAGGTAGACCCGGGAAGACAGGAGCTCTGGACCCCGTCTTCCCAAACCGTTCCTCAAAACCTTCAGTATTTCCGACCCCGGAAACCTCGAGACTCCGGGCAGAGAACACAGTCTTTTTGTTTTGTCCGACTGCATTAGCTGTGCAGACCAGATAATTCAATTTCAGAGAGCACTGCTAACAACCAGCCGGGGCTGTGCCTCGCTCTTGCCAGACACCGCTAAAAGGATTGGAACAGGACAGAACGCACGCCCCCAGTAAACCTGCAGCTGCAGGACTGCTGCCCACGTCCCCCTTTCCACGGCGGGGGGAGGGGTGCTCTCCAGCAGCCTCCTAACAGCCCCCGTCTGGTCCCCCCGCGCACGTCTGCCCTGCGGCCGTGGTGACCTTTCCGCCGTGAGAATCTGATCATGTCACTGCCCGCTGACTGAGGCCCTGAAACAGCTCCCTCCGGCCCTCGGCAGGAAGCAGGTGCGCTCCATGCAGAACCGGGGGCGCCGCTAATGCTAACGAATGACCATCTTCTCTTGGTTGGCAGAAAAATTAAGTTAATTGATGGAATAGTCTCCAGGTTCAGTGTTTCTCGGCTACCACTTGGCTATATTAGAGTTTAGTGTAAGGCTACATCTGATAAACCCAGGAGCACGATGTCGTCACCAGTTGTTGTGTTTCCAGCCATGCTGGTGTGCGGTGTGCGGGTGTCCTGTGTGTGGGTGTCCAGTGTGTGGGTGTCTAGTGTGTGGGTGTGCAGTGTGTGGGTGTCTCGTGTGGGTGTCCAGTGTGCGGGTGTGTGGTGTGCGGGTATCCTGTGTGTGAGTGTGCAGTGTGTGGGTGTCCAGCATGTGGGTGTCCATGTGTGTGGGTGTCCAGCATGTGGGTGTGCAGTGTGTGGGTGTCCATGTGTGGGTGTCCAGCGAGGGGGTGTCCCATGCGGCCACCACAGTGGAGTGCTGGCTGGGGCAGAGGCCGACCTCTAAAGCCCTCCCGGGAGCGCCCAGGCTCCTCGTCAGGGCTTGGCTCGCGGGCTTCTCTGCCTGGCGCAGGTGCCTTCCGCTGCCTGCTGGGCTCTGAGCTCTGTAGTGTTTGTGGAACGGCGGCGCAGCTGAGCGGACACACGGGAAGATGGGTTGACCGTGTCGTGTACAGGCGGTCAGGACTCAGCAGGGCGGCCTGGACAGACGTGGCTGTGTCCCCCTCCCCGCCACCCCCGCCCGCAGCCACGGCCGCCTTCTTGCTGTTCCTCACGCTGCCTCGGCACCTGCTGTTCCCTCCTTCCTGGGATCTTCCCGGTTCCGGCTCCTGCACACCTGGGTCTCAACCCACCCAGCGAGAAGTAGCCTCTGCTGTGTCCAGGGTGTGGGAGGGGTCTCCCCTCCAGGGCCCTGGTTCTGTCAGACCACAGCCCCCGCTCGGCGAGCGTCGGGGCTCCCACCGTGTCTGACATGGGGGCTCTTGGTGTTCGGGGCCCGGAAGGGGGGCCACCGCGGTGCCGGCACATGCTGGCCAGCATAGCTGTGTTCCACATTTCTCTTCCAGGATAATGTTGACACGTGTGTACTCTAATGAATCAGCTCTCCCATCTTAACTGTCTCCCTTGGCAGGAACAGTAAGTCCTCGTGCCAAGCCAGGGCTGACCTGCATGACTCAATCCTTGAAAATATAAAGGAAATTATTGTGTTTTCATGCCAGCAAGGATTGAGACGCAGCCAGCTCATCCGTTTCTAGTTTTGTTTTGCTTTTCCCCCAGGGCCGTAAGCTGTGACCTGCTTAGGGTAATTTGTGTGATGTCCAAGTGCACCACGTTCGTAGCCGCAGTCTCTCATTAGCCACATGGCCGGGTACGGGTCAGGACTCTTGACTGTAAGTACCAGAACCCAAATGAAGCTGGCTTCGGCTTAAAAGCAAATGCGTTGGTGCAGGCGGGTAAGCTATAGCAACACGCCCTTCCTGGCTCTGTACTGGTTTCGCTCTCGGACCACCTCTCCCCAGGAGGCGACACACTGAGGTCCGCAAGCTCTTCCCTGGGCTCTCACAGGACAGCAGCTCCAACAGCAAGGACACTTCTCTTTCCGACGGTTGCAGCAGAGGTTGACTCTCGGCAGCTTCTCTCGGGTCGCATT